GTCAGGGTTGAAGAAGGTGTGCGTCAGGTCATTGCCGTCGTCCTCGGGGATCTTAAATGGCTCGTTGCGAATGCTGTCATACAAGTTCTGAAAGGGGAAGGGGGAGAGTGCACGAGGGCCCCCAGCTGAGAGACTGCCGATAATGTGGGGGGGAACCAGAGAGGGAGAGGGGCAGCCCGGAGGGGCGGAGAGACGGGACCTGGAGAGGTGGAGAGGGGGGCCCCGAGGGGGAGGGACCAGAGGACTGAGGCCATGGGCCACGGGCCATGGTGGGAAGGGACGCCGGGCAGCCCACGGCCAGGGGTTCGGGCGAGGGGGTGGGCTCACCCTGAGCAGCTCCTCGGGCAAGTCCCCGCCGTCGTTGATGCCGCGGTTCATGGTGATGAACCTCTCGACGCCCGGCTTGTCGCGCACGTTGGGGTTGTGCAGGCTGGTGTTGAGCATGATCACGGCGAACGAGAGGACGTAGCAGGTGTCTGCACTCGGGGAGGGGCACAGGGAGAGGGGGACGGGGAGCTCACCACCTTCCTCTCTGGGAATTGTAGGACAGCAAGGAAGCGCCTAAATCTGCCTCCCTGAAGCCGGACCCCACGGCCTGCTCCTGTCCAGCCCCACCCGTGCCCCCACCGGCCCCGGCCCATCCCACATCTGCCTTGCGCCCCCACTGCGTGCTGGCACGGTGTGTGTGCTTCAGTAATGTTCTGACTGCCCCGGGCCAGGCCCACCTGTGGACTGGAAGACCCCTGGGTTACACAGGCAGTAGCGCTGGGCGAAAGCCTCCATCATGCGGTCGATCTTCTGGGCTTCCCCGGGAAGGCGGAAGCTCCACAGGAACTGTCTGAGGTGGAGGAAGGCAGTGAGGGGGACAGGCAGTGGGGAGAGGGTCCCCCTGCCCCCCAGTCACAAGGCGGGGGTGGACACGACACCCGTCCGGGGGCCCTCGGTCACCTCAGTGCCTGCACCAGGTTAAGGTCAGTGAACTCGTGCAGGTCCACGAAGGCGTGGAGGACAGCCAGGTTCAGCTCCTCCCTGGGGGAGACACAGAGGATGCCGTGAGCGAGTGCTGGGGGGAACCCTGCCCCGCCTGCACCTGGCGCCCACTCCGCCGGCTCTGGGCCCATACCGCTCCCCCAGGTAGTCGCCGATGGCTGTCTTGTTGAGGCCTTCGCCCTTGTACAGGAAGCGGGAGATCTCCTCAGGCGTGTTCTGCAGCAGCTCATTTTCCACCAGGAATTGGATTCCCTGGGAAGGCATTGGGAGAGAGGCGGGAGTGAGGAGGGGTCCCATGGCCCCCCCAGGCCTCCCAGAGCCCTGCCCCCAGCCCCAGCACCTTCTTGGGGTCCATGTTGAACTTCTTCCTCCCCATGGCCATCTTGCGGTTCCTCTGCAGGGTCTTACTGCAAGGGTGAGAAGGGGAGCCATGAGCAGCCGGGGCGCCGCCCACCTGGGGCTCGGGTCCTGGGGTTCCTGGCTGGGCTCTGGGGCTCCCCACTGGGGCTAGGGTCCTGGGGCTCCCAGCTGGGGCTGGGGTTCCCGGCTGAGGTCCTGCGGCTCCCCGCTGGGGCTGGTTATGAGCCCTTCTCTGCCACTGAAGGGTGGCACAATGCAGACTGTTCCCTAGCTAAACCAATAAGCATTTATTAAGTACTGACTACATGCCCTGCACTATGCTAAGTTCAGGAGACACAAAGGAGGGTGAAGGGCAGGGCCTGCTCTCAGGGAGCTTACAGTCCAAAGGAGGAGAGGAGACCAGACCACTATGGACAGAGGGGATGCAGGCGGCTGCAGACGGAGCTGAGCAGGCACCCTGGACCGGGGGAGCTGCTGCCCACCTGCCCTCGTTGGCCTCCAGCCCCTCGACCTCGCTCATGGCCTCGCTCAGCTCATCACGCAGTCGCTGGATCTCCACCAGCAGCTCCTGCTTGCGTCTCCGGATGCTCTCCAGCTCCAGACGCTCCTCGGGGGTCAGGTCTGGGGGAACTGGGGGGTACACGTGGACTGAGGGCTGGCCGCAGGGGCGGGATGCACGCGCGTGTGGTGTGCATGCGTGTGCTGCATACTGTGGCACGTGATGGATGCTGCATGCGATGCACATGTGTAATCACACATGTATGGCACACAACACATGTATGCGTGTGATTACTTGTGAGTGGTGTGTGATTACATGTGTATTGTGTGATCACAGGTATCCAGCACACTACATTTGTGTGCATGTGTGAGATTGTGTGTGATGACGGTGTGATCATATGTTTATGTTGTATGCATGTGGGTGATTGCATGCGTGCAACACATATGCATGTGTATATGTCATCACATACATACGGCATGCTGCATTTGTGTGCATGTGTAATTACATGTAATGTGGTTGGTGTTTGTGTGTGCGTGTGTGCATGTGTGCTGGGCTCCTGGGTGATTCGGGTCCCTGGACACTTGAGTGCCTAAGGTCTGGGGAAAGGTATGCAAAGGTCTCCCGGGGAAACTGAGGCACAGAGTGCAGATAACACTAAAATTAAGTTTGGGAACGGGGTAGGGGGAGAGAGGGCATGGCCTTTTTCCCCTCATCTCCACTAAGTTGCTGCCCCAAATTCCGCCCTAGCCTTCATTCTTTCCTGGGGTGATTCTCCCTTCCAAGAAAAATGGTCTCTCCCGATCCAAGGGAGCCCCCCCATGTACGCTTGGGATAGTACATCCCAAAGGCAGGAAATGGACTCGCCCAGGGAATGGTTTCGACCACGCCCCCCTGCGCCGGCCGGAAATGGTATCGTCCTGAACAATGGAATGGAACGTCCCGTCCCCTCCCAGCCCCCCAGCCCCCAGAGCTCGCTCCGCGCTCGCCTCACCATAGACTCCGTCTTCCATGGTGGCCAGGGCGGCCCGGGGCGGGCCCGTAGCGTGGCTCGGGCCGCCGGTTCTTCGCTGGTCCTTGGGGCTACGCTCAGCCCCTTCGGCCGCTCCCGGGGCCGCCGCCGCCACCGCCTCCGCTCTCGCGTGGGGCCGCCCCCCGGCCAATGGAAACCTGAGCTTGGCTTCCGTGGACCCAATGGGCGTTGAGGGGCGGGTTGCCTGGGCCAATGAAGCCGGGCGGAGGCGGGGCGTGAGGCGGCCGCGTTGCCTCGGTGGACAAGGGGAGGGTGGCGGAGCGAGCCAATGGAACTCGATGGAAGGCGCTCAGGGCCCCGCCCTCCACGCTGGACCCAATGAAAGTTGGGGACCCGCTCAGCGGGGCGGTGCGCACAGAACCGGGAGTATCAGATCCCGAAAAAGTGACAGGGAGCAGACAAGCTAAGGCCTTAGCTTGAGACGGGCAAGGGTGTCTGCGCCTGCGTGAGGCCGAGCGACAAATGGGAGGGGGCGTAGCCTCTCTCTAAGCCCGAGCGTTGCTAGGGGGTAGGCCCGTTGCTAAGGGGTGGCAACAGAGCTCAGGCCCAGAAAGGGGAAAAAAAAGTTCCGTTGCTTAGCGACAGCTGAAGGCTGTGTTGGAGGGCGGTGTTTCTGCGGGAACCGTCCCTGCCCTCTGGCCCTTTCCCTTCTCCCATGGACTCCTGCCCTGTCCTCTGGCTCCTCTCCTTTCCCTCTAACTTCTCTCCATTTCCTCAGATCCTTTTCTCTCATCCTCCTCCCCTCTGCTCAGACTCTTCCCCTCAGACTCCCATCCTCACTCTGGCTCCTCCCCTTCCCCCGCCCCCTTCTCGCCATCAACATGGACTCCTCCCTCTTTCCCTTTGACTCCTCCCCCATCTCTTTTGACTCCTCCCCTCTCCCTTGACTCCTCCCTGTCCATCCAGACTGCTCCTCCCCCTGGAGGTGCCCCTTCCCCTCTCCTCCTGCCTCCTCTCTGGCTCCCGTCCTTTCCCACATCATCCCTAGCATGGATTGAGCTTCTAACTTGCCACTTCCTGCCTGGGAAACCTTGAGCAAATCACCTTCGGGTCTGTTTCCCCATCTCTGAAATGAGGGAGTTGGCCCAGATGATCTCTGACCCCTTGCAGATCTAACTCTGCCCTTGGGCGCCCCTCTTCTTCACAGGCCCCACCCCCTAGTGGGAGGGAACCTTTGACCTCCAATCCAGTCCCCTTGTTTTACTGATGAGAAAACTGAGGCCCAGAGAGGTTGTGACTGGAACTCAGGTCCTCTGAGTGCACAGTTAGGGCTCTTTTCTCTGTAAGGAAATAAAGGAGGTGATGACCCTGCTGTGGCCCCCCCTCCTGACCCCCAGGGGGCAAGCCTGAAAGGCCCGTGGTGCTTCAAAACCAGCTTCCCCAAGGGATTAGCCATGGAAACTGTTCCTGCCTCTTAATCCCCTCCCTGTCCCTGTTCTGACCTTCAGGAAGTCTGAAGCTCCCATCCCCGTCCTGGTCCCCAAAAAGGGGTCCTAGCTCTTCTTCCATGCCCTTCTCCCTCAGGCCACCTCCTGATCCCACTTGGGCATCTTCAGCCCCCTCCCCAGCCTCTAGGCCCTAGGTCTCACCTTCCCTCCCCCTACAATCCTGCAGCTGCCTGGCTAATTAATACCATCCGGTCCTTATCAGGGTTACTGATGGATAAAGGCCACAGGCAGGGGGTGGGGTGAAGGGGGAGGACAGGACATCAGGGCATGAAAGAGACCTTAGGAGGCTGGGAAGAGGGTGATGGGGCCTCTGGAGGATGAGGGAAGGAAGATTAGGTCCTCTGGGCAAAAAGAGCCATGAGGTCTCTGGGGTATGGTGGGATATGGGAGAGCCCCTGGTAGAGGACAGGCTTGGGTCCTTGGGAGGGAGCCCAAAAACCTGGGGAAAGGTGAGGAGGGAAGGACAGAGCCCAGCATCTGGGGCTGGAGGGCCCAGTGGGGCTCCTGGGTGGCTTCCTCCCTCTCCCGGGGCTCGAGCCCTCACTGCAGGCTGGCACCTCTCCCGTGGCACGCTCATGGAAATGAGGCACTGGGCCAAGGGCCAGGACTGAGGAACAGCAGCCACCCCCTGCCCCTCCCACCCAGGCACATGAACACACACAGATGGCTTCACAACTCTTTATTCTGGGGGCAAGGGCAAGCCGGTTCCCTCCACCCCCAGGCAATGATGGAAAGGACCCCAGGGTCCTTGAGTGTCCTCCACACTTGCCCCAGAGCTGAGGCAGGGGCAAGGCAGGGCAGCCCAGCCCAGGGCCTGGGCCCTTTGCCACAGCTCAGTCTAGGGTGACTCATGCTGCAGCCTTTCCAGTGTCCAGAGGCCACGCAGGTCCTAACAGAAACACCACCTGCTTTGCTCTAGGGCCTTCCAGAAAAGTCCCAGTGAGCCCTGGAAGGCCAGCCAGCCTGCCTGCGATGCCACCTCCCAGGGCACAGAGGTCATAGGCTCCCCAGCTGGCAAAGCTCAAGGGGAATACATTCCAACCCCCTTTGGTTAACAGGAGAAAACAGAGGGGAAAGGGGCTGGCCCACGTCACTTGGGCACAGGGAGCCAAGCCAGGATTCCAGCCTGGGGCATCTGCCTCCAAAGCTCATTTCCCCTGCCTGCCCAGAGTGACCTCCCTCCTGAGGCCAAGGCCACTCTTTCCCCCCCCCCCCTTCTGCAGCAAAACCAGGAAAAATTAGGGAGAATACAGATATACAGATATATGTAGATAGGTATATATGCACAGCATTCTGGAGAAAGTCATTGGCTAGTTGGTGGCCCCGTGCATCCAGGATGCTTCCTGCTCAGCCTAGAGGCCAAGCTAGGCTCTTTACGGCCCCATGGGCCCAGGGCCCTCCATGGCTTGTCCTGTCTGCAAACCCAGTCTGAACCAATGGGCTTCCTGGGTCCCATTGTCTTCTTGAGGGTGGGGGTGGGGGTCTAGAACAACCCTGGCCACTCCCTGCCTCTTGGACTCCTGGCGGCAGGATTGATCCCAGAAGGAAGGGGCTTGGGAGGAAAAAAAGTGCTGAGGGTAACAATAGGGCAGAAGGGAGGGGGGGGTCCTCATTCCCCCTCCTTGGGAAAGTGGTGAGGAGGAGCTACTGATTGAAATCATCCAGAAGGTTCCACCCACAAAGCCACCTCCCCCATTCCTAAAGTCCAGGGTCTGGGAAGCATGCACTGCTACCCCATCCATCCTAGCCTATGCCCCAGGGAAGGGGCTCTAGGCCTGTAGGGAAGTCCCTGGGCCTAGAATCCAGCTCCTCCCTGACCTAGGACTACAACTCCCACATCCCCGGGGAAGGGGGGGGTGACACAGTGGGCCCCTGAGACAGCCAAGGTCCTAGACACTGGGAATTGCAGTCTCCCAGCTCTGTCAGTCTTCCTTCAGGGGGGTGGGGTCAATTCAGGAGATGGGGGTGGGGTGGAGGCCTTGGAGCTGACCTCCACCTGGGCTTCACCCCTCTCCTCCTCCACCTCGTCCTCTTCCTGGCAGCAGCTGAGGGCCACCTCATTTTCATAGCAGAAGGCAGCCAGGGTACCGGGCAGGCCCCCTTTGGGCCCAGGGCTGTCACTGTCCCCCAGGGCCTGTCGCTCTTCTAGCTCCCGGGCACTGCAGATGGGGGTCCCAGGCACCTCGTAGGTTCGGTGAAAGTGACGGTAGTCCACTTCGTAGTGGGCCCCTCTCTGGAAGAGCACAGGCTCGAAGCGGTGGCCCCACAGAAGCTCCCCTGGCAGATAGGAGGAGCGGCATTGGGTGGTCATGGCTGTGGCCTCCACCATGCCCTCCAGGATGACCACCAGCTCAAAGTCTGCCCTGGCCAGCTCAGCTCGGCCCATCTCGTACAGAGGGCTGGAAGCGTCGATCTCATGGACGATGGTGATGGGCGACACCAGGAAAATGCGGTCTGTACCCCCGTCAAACCCCACGTCCACATCCTGGTGATCGAGGGGAATGTACTCGCCTTCTGGGGTAACGCGAGGCTGGGAGAGGCACAGTACAGGCGGAGACAAGGCAGTGAGGCAGGAGCGAGATCACGGAAGCAGGGACACAGACACAGAGGAGATAAAAGGAGACGGAAGAAAAGGTGACATGGGGATGGAAAGAGTGACCAAGCAGAATCAGGCCAGTCCCAAAGCAAAAGAGGAGCAGAGGGGAAGCAGCCCACACCAAGAGCCACACAACGATGCAAAGACCCGAGCCAGGGGTGGGACACAGAGATGGAGAGAGGGAGAGAAATGATCTTCACAAGTCAGAAGGAGACCCAGACACCTGGCCCCTAGGGACTATGGGCAGGTGTCCTCCCTCAGACCCCACACAAGGTCTCTGGCCCCCCTCCCACAATTCCTGTTGGCCAGTGTTGAACCACTGCCCCTAGGGTGGCTGCAGCAACCTGTGGCCGTGGCAAAGTAGGGTCAGAGCTGGCCAAGGCCGTCCACAGGATGGGAATTTACAATGAGCGACTACACCACCTGGATCTGAGCCCTTCCTTGCAACCGGAATCTGGAAGGAATGACTATACCACCCAGGGCCGAGCCCCTCTATGGGATGGAAATTTTAAAGGCACTACTATACTTCACCACACAGGGCTCTCTGAGGGTCAGTCTCCACCCAGGGGGGCCCAGCTGGCCTTGACTGAGTCTGAGGAAACCACAGTTCCTATGAGCTCTTGGGTCTCAACCAAACCAGGGAAGAGAAACCCTTCCCCTCTCCTGAACCCCTGGGGCACTCCTCTCCACCAGACTGGGGGAGGTCAAGGCTTCTTCGTGCTGGAGGCTGCTGTCCACAGACTACAGGGGGATTGCCCTCCCTGACCCAGAGGGTACTGGGGGCTGAGGTCCTTAGATACTCAACCACCCAGAAGCTCCTGGGTTTCCAGCCCCAACTCAAGGGCCAATGGGATGGGGAGAGCCCCAAACCCACGGGTCGCTGGGAATTGTGGCTTCCTAGTTTCCCTGGACAGGAAGACAGCAGTTCCCACAAATTATTGGTGCTCCATGCAAAGGTCCAGGGGAGTCACTGCCCCATATCTCCTGGGCCCTTCCGAGGCAGTGCCAGTCCCACCCACAGCAAGGGCCCTATCTGGCTCCCCAGGGCTCACCTGAAGCAGCTGGGCTCGGACATGCGCCTCCACCAGGTGGCTCCGCCGCAGGTTCCCCACCCTCCACATGAGGCAGAGGCGGTGGTCGCGCAGGGCCACCACCGCATTTTCACTGAATACTAGCGTCTCATTACGCTTCTTGGGTTTGGCGATCTTGGCCATGATGGCCCCCACCACAAAGGCGTCCAACACGCAGCCTGCTATGCACTGCAGGACCACGGCCACCACTGCGGCCGGGCACTCCTCCGTCACGCTGCGCACCCCATAGCCGATAGACGTCTGGGTCTCCAGGGCGAAGAGGAAGGCGGCCAGGAAGCTGCCCACTTGCGAGAAGCAGGGCGCAGGCGGCGGGGGCGCAGCCAGGTCCCCATGCAGGGAAGCGATGAGCCAGAAGGCCAGGCCGAAGAGCAGCCAGGAGGCCACGAAGGAGCAGGAGAAGAACAGACACATCCATCGCCAGCGGACGTCCACACAGGTGGTGAACAGGTCGCTGAGGTAGCGCGCCCCGTGCTCCCCCAGGTGGACGAAGCGAACGTTGCAGTGGCCGTCCTTCTTGACAAAGCGGCCCCTGCGCCGGGGGCCCAGGCCCACTTCGGCGCCCGCGGGGGAGCGCCCATTGCGGCAGGCTGCCAAGCCGCCTCCCTCACCCTGGTCCTCCTCTGCAGACGAGGGGACGCCACTCAGGCGCCGCAGGACGCGGGACACCCCCATGGGGGCTAGCAGGTGGTAGGGCACCTGCAGAAGAAGAAGGGGGACTCCGGCCAATGCTCTCCTCTGAACAAGGTGGATGAAGAGCACGGTCTCCCGCCCCCATGACCCCAAGGGCTCTCACAGGCTAGCCTTGGGAAGGGGCGCTTGGGGCTCTGCCCCTGGACAATGGAGGGCTGAGACAGGAAGCCCTGGCTCCTGGGGCTGGTCCATCTTGCCCTCCCTGCCTCCCACGTGGCCCCAGAGCAGCTCTAGGCCTTGCCCCTTGACCCACCTCTGCCCAGCACAGGAGCAGCTTATGTTTCCATATTCAGCCGAGACTCAGCTTAGGGGGATGACAATTTCATGTCAAAGTCAATATCTAATCTGGGGACAGGTAGCCCTCCCCCTCCCCCCTGCAAGGCAGAGATGGTCAGAGACTGGCTCTCAGAGACAGAGATGCAAAGAGAGACACCAAGGGGCCCACAGATGCAGGGAGAGAGACGGCAAGGTGCCCAGAAATGACAGGGAGAGATGGTCAGACTCTCTCAGAGACAGAGATGCCAAGGGATAGAAAGGAGACCAGAGATGATGAAGAGATGCAGAGAGACAGCAAGGGGCCCAAAGATGACAGGGGGAGAGGGGTCAGAGAGACAGCAAAGGGCCCAGATGATAAGGAAAGATGGTCAGAGACAGCAAGGGGGCCAGCAATGATGGGAAAAGATGGCCAGAGACTGGATCTTAACAGAGTTAGAGATGCAGAGAGCCAGCAACGGGCCCAGAGATGACAGAGAGGTGCAGAGACGGACAGCAGGGTGCTCAGAGATGACAGGGGGAGAGGGTCAGAGAGACAGCAAAGGAACCAGCAAGGACAGGGAGGAATGGTCAGATTGCTTCTGAGACAGAGATGCAGAGAGACAACAAGGGGCCCAGAGATGATGGAGAGATGCAGAGAGACAGCAAGGGGCCCACAGATGTCAGGGAGAGATGCAGAGGCAACAGGAGGGCCAGTGCCAACAGGGAGATGGTCAGAGACTGGCTCCTACGGCTTGAAACCCAGTGAATGGAGTAGAGACAAGAACGGCCTCTTGAAGCAGACAGAAACATTGAGAGCCAGTGTGGCTGCCCACCTCTGAGGTGGGCAGAGCTGTCAAACTGGGCCATCTCCCCCGCAACAGCAGACAGAGTAGCCTAAACGGGCCGGGTAGAGGCAAACAGGTGGGCAGAAAGGGAGAGGAAGATGGGCAGAGCCAAGGATGACAGAGTGATGGGCTGTGGGGTCAAAGAGCCTCCTCCCTGCCCCCTCACGGCCTTGAGTCCCCCTTACCTGCTGGGGCCAGCGGCCCCCATCCCGCTCAGCAGGATCTTCTGTGTGTCCCGTGTGAAGGACCCAGCTCCCTTGAGGGAGAACGTCTGTGTGTCAGGGAGGGGACAGGAGGGGGCGGGGAGTGTCCAGGCACCAGCCCTCGGTGGCTCTCAGGCAGGGATCAGAGCAGCCTTAGGAGGATGGGGTTGGGGGGGGGAAGAAGGCGGGGCCAGCTCAGGGAGCCGCAGAGGGGGAGCCAGGACAGGGGGAGGGGAGTCTGGAGCTGGCCCTCTGCCCAGTCTCCTGAGAAAGTTGGAAGGGACAGAAATGAGACCAAGGAGGCAAGAAAAAGACGGGGTCAAAGAAGTGGGGGTAACGGAGAGCAATGCCCTGAGATGGGGAAGAAGAGAGATGACAGATACCCAAACAGGTTAGAGCCAGCAAAGAGAGACTTGGAAACAGAACACTGTGACCTCTGGAGACAGAAAGAGGGAGAGAGACAGAGGAAGAGGGGAGAGACAGAGAGTGAGGAAGGGGAAAGAGAAAGAGGAAGGAGGGAGAGAGACAGAGGAAGGGGGAGAGAAAGAGAGAGAAGGGGGAGAGAAAGAGAGAGATACAGAGGAAGGGGGAAGAGAGACAGAGGAAGGGAGAGAGAGAAGGAGAAGGGGGGAGAGAAAGAGGAAGAGGGGAGAGAGAGAGGAAGGGGAAGGGAGGAAAGAAGGGAGAGAGATGGAAAGAACTGGGGGGAGAGGAAGAGGAACAAAAAGAGGGTAGACCAGAAACAAGGATGAAAAAGCAGACAGCCGGAAAGAGGGGACAGAGAGGGTGAGGGACAAAAATGGAGAACAAGGGAGAGCAGAGGGAGAAAAGGAAAAAGTGGCACCAGAGACGGAGGGAGGGAGCAGCAGGTGAGAGGCCGGCCAGAATAACCTCACACTGTGGCTTTGTTTTCGTGGCTTTTATTGATCACATACATGCCCATCTCCAGTGATGTCGGCCCTCCTTCCCTCCCTCCTCTCAAGTCTTTGGCAAGACAAGACCCATCCAAGCGCACTGGAGTTGGGAGGGAACCAGCCTATCCCTGAAAGCAGGTGGGCCAAATCACACCCTAGCGTGGGGGGCCAGGCCAAGCCACCTCCCATCTCTGAAGGCAAATGTGTCCAAGGGCACAGGCCCCTCTGTGGCCAAGCAGGGCACCCCAGGCTATGGCTGAGGGGCGGGGGAAGGGACCAAGGCGGCTCGGATGCCTCCCCAGGTGCAGGCCTCAGACGCTGATGGTGCGGAAGACCGTGAAGCCAGACAAGGCCGTGCTGATGAGCACGCCTGGGCACTGGGGGTGCCAGTGCAGCTCCTTGATGTCCGTCTCCCCTTGGTGCACGAACAGCAGCTGCTGGGGGAGCTCTGCCACCAGGGGATCCCCGTCCTCTGTGATGCCCATCTCAGGGTCCCTCTCCACCGCCAGATCCCACTGGGTCAGCTGGTCATCTGCCCCCGCTGCCGCGAAGACCCCGCCATCCTGGGGGTGCCACTCCACGGAGGTCACGGGGGCCACATGCTGCTTGAAGGTGGCCACTGGGGAGCCGCTCTACAGGACAAGGTAGGGTGTGAGCCACATAGGGTTTGGAGGAAGCCCAGCCCCAGAGCTTGGGAGCCCTCGGGAAAGCTGTCACACCCCCTGCCTCAGTTTGCCGCTCTGTACAAAGAAGGGACTGGACTGGAGAATCTCTGGGGCACTCCAAGACACTGTGGCTCTCTACCGGGCTGTCAAAGGCTCCTTCTTTGGGCTGAAGCTTCTCAGCAATAAAATGAGGAAGTGGAATCTGATCCCTGAACCCCCAGGTTTAAGAATCTATGGAGGGGCAGCCAGGTGGCACAGTGGATAGAGCACCGGCCTTGGAGTCAGGAGGACCTGAGTTCAAATCCGGCCTTAGACGCTTGACACTTACTAGCTGTGTGACCCTGGGTTAACTCAGTTAACCCCACTGCCTAGCCAAAAAAAAAAAAAAAAGAGTCTATGGAGCCCACACAGGAAAAGAGCCAATGGCAACTCCCAAGTCTCGGTCCTGAGGTCAACCAAGCACCAGGAGGCTGCTGGGGACTGAGTCCCAGAGCAGTGGGAGTGACTTTTTCAAGGTCACAAACTGAAATGGTCCCTGCACCTCAGAAATCTGCGACAGCAGCAGACTGTCTCACACGCACACACATACACGTGCATGCACGCATTGCATACACATTGCCAAGCTCATGTGATCTATGCACACACAGTATACGTTGTACACGTGCATAAGAATCAGACTGAGAGACAGAAGGCCCTCACCTGACATCTAGCCTAAGGAACGCCCACTACGCCCCTGCCACGTCCTCCAGCCTGTGCTTATAGGCCTTCCCTACCCAATGACCTCCAGGCGGTTGCTCTACGTCGGGGCAGCTCCTGGATCGGCCTGGGGTGGGGGTAGGAGCTCACCGTGAACTGCCTGAGATCCCAGACTTTGAGGGCACCATCGTCACCTCCGCTGAGCAGGAAGGATGTCTCCCGACGGCTCCAGCTGATGACATTGACATCTGCGTCATGGGCAGAGGGGGCCGTGAGCATGCAGGCCCGGCTTGGCGCCGCCCGGATGTCCCATATTCGGATGGAGGCATCGGCTGAGCACGATGCAAACACCTGAGAGCAGTGGGGAGACCGTCATGGGTGCAGGTATCCACGCCCACAAGGGGACGTCTACAGGCCCAACGCTCTATCCACAACGCCACGAGGAGGTGCCACAGGGTTCAGAGCCCAGGCCTGGAGTCAGCAAGGCCTAAGCTCAAATCCAGCCTCAGACTCCTCCTAGCTTGCAACCCTGGGCAACTCAATTCATGTCTGCTTGCCTCAGCGTCCTCAGTTGTAAAACGGGGATGGTAGCAGCATCTGCCTCCCGGGATTGTCGCGAAGCTCAAATGAGATACGATTTGTAAGGTGCAGGCACGCAGTACCTGGCACGCAGCAGGCACATGATAAGTGCTTGACCCCCGCCTCCCCATCTGTGGCCAGCCACCCAGAGAGCCCTGCCCGGCGACCTCACCGTGTCCTCAGTGGGCGACCACTGCAGATCCTCCACAGAGCGGGAATGAGCGGCAAATGGCCGCTGGTCCACATGCCAAGAGCCGCCATCGGTAGGTGTCCAGAGGTGAATGTTTCTTTGACAGTCACCAGTCAGCAGGCGACCTGTGTTCCAGACAGACTGTCCTATACTACCCACTGCTTGGGAAAAAGACTCTTCTTGGCAGTTTTCACCACTCTACCCTCCGTCACTGTTTACACCTCTCTCCAAGCCCTCCCTGCCTACTCAGGGCCTCACCGGGCACCCGGGGGGACCAGTCCAGGGCAAAGCCCTCAGCCATGTGGCCAGCAAAGGCAAACAGGGGCCGGGTCTGTGCCTGCTCGTCCCTCAAGAATGCTGCCAGGACCTGGGGGTCATCCACTGCTTCCAGGGGCCTACGCAGGGAAAACACCTCCACCTGGCCTTTCTCAGACCATACCCCTGCCACAGGGGTCTCCCCGAGCCACGCAACCTGAGGGAGAGGGAAGGGAAGGGTAAGAGAAAGATGAGGCGCCTGGCCATTCTCAGCAGCCGCCCCAGCTGGGAAAACCTGGCCTCCTGACGAAGCCAGTCCAAAACGTCAGCTACCCGGACACGGTTCATGGCTCCGTAGTGAGGGACCATGGCCAGCTCCAGCTGGGGCTTCTTCTCCTCCTCGTCTTCATTTTCCTCCTCGCTTTCACTCTCACTGTCCTCAGACACCTCACTTTTCTGGGTCCCGTGGAGATTATGCATTCGCATCACCATCAGCCTGGAGAGAGGAGGCAGGATTCAGAGCTGGGGGGTCAGTCTGGGCAGGAGGAGAAGAGAGCTGGGAGAGGATGGTGAGATGAAGGGGCTCCGAGACCCCAGCCAGCCCCAAGGACCTCAGGCTCTTACAGAGCCTGGGGGGTGGGAAGGGTCAAGAGAAGTCTGCCTAAAAGCAAGACTCCCCAAGAGGATGGTGGAGGGCCCAGGGCTCCCAACACACCTGTTGCTCTGAGCACTGGGGGCCTGGGTCCCGGCACACAGGTACAGGCACAGGGGAAAGTCGCTGCGGGCATCCCCAAGCTGGTCTCGGACAATGTCGAAGCTGAGGCATGGCGAGCCTGCCGGGGGGGGGGGGGAGTGTCCCAAGGAGCCCCCCGGCCCCTCCCCCCATCCACCCCGGCCCTTTCCCCTGCCCCCCAGCCCCTCCCCTCCCCTCCCCCCCGTCATCCACCTCGGCCCCTCCCCCCACCTCATCCACCCGCCACGCTCCTCCTCCCCCCCTCCCCCAACTTACTAGGGTCCCCTCCCCCCGGATCTCTCCCTCATCTCCACTCTTCCCTTCTTTCTGGGGCCCGCCCCCGGCCCCCTTCCCGCACCGGTCTGCGCGCGGTGGTACAGCACGTAGGCTTCCTGGTCTCGCACCAGCTCCTCGTCCTCCTGCAGCGGCGGGCCGCGGCCCGGGAGGTAGACGCGCGGCGGGCTGCTCGGGGTCTTGGCCTTGGCTCTACACGTGCGCCCGGAACTCTTGCGCGCCGCCATCTTGGAGTCTGCGCGCAGCGGCCCGGGCTCCGCCCCCTCCGCCCGTCACCATGGCGACGGCCCCTTCCGGTGAGGCTCCGGGGATTGGCTGGATCGCGCGCGGCATGCCGGGAGTCGTAGTTCTGAATGGGAAGGGGCCAGTCCGCCCCCTTGAGTATGGGCAGAAAGCCTCGGGGCTTCCCCAGGGGAGGGCGGGCCTGGCGCCCTCTCCTGGCTTTCATCTTTCCTGGGCATCCCGACTAGCGCCTCCACTTTCTCCTCTCACGCACGCCCTTCTATCTGACCTCAGACCCCATCATTCCACCCATTCCTCTCTCCTTGTCCTCCAGGGCCTCCCTGTGGATGCCGTCTTCTCTCTGGGTTTTTCAGGACCCTCTCCCGTTCTCCTCCTCTCTCCTCTGCCTTTTTGCTGCATCCTCCTCCAGACCATGCCCTCTCACCAAAGGTGGCCTTCAGGGCTCTGTCCTACCTCATGTGGGGATCTCCTCAGCTCCTATGGAGTTGCTGTGGTGGTGGTGCTCTGTCCTTCATTCCTGGACTGTGACATCAGGAAGGTGATGCCACGACTCGCATTGAATTGGATGTAAGTGGGGCAGGGCTGTGCAAAGGCACCAGCCTCACTTTCTCCTCTGGAGCCATCAGGGTCCAGTGGCCAGATACAGAGCAGGACGACTGGAGATAGCCTGGGGCGCAGTGGGGGCTCTCATGGTTTAAGGCCCATCTCTATGTTGAGGATTCTCAAATCTGCCTCTCCTGCCCCAATTCCTCTGCTGACCTCCCGCCTCACATCCCCAACTGCCTTTCATACATTTCCAACTAGATATGACCAGTAGACATCTTAAACTTAATATGTCCAGAACAGAACTCATTATCTCCCCCCCCCCAAGCCTCCTCCATCTGATGTTCCCTGTTACTGTAGAGGGTAAGTCCTCCCTGGACTCCTCACTCTCTCTCATCCCCCACATCCAATATGGTGCCAAGGCCTGCCCATTTCACCTCTGCAGCATCTCTGGAATACGCCCCACCTCTCCTCTGATGCTGCCCTTCCCTCTGGCGCAGGCTGTCACACACCTCATGCCTGGACTGATGGCAAGAGCTTGGGCGGTTGGGGGGACGTCCTCTCCCACTCCAGTCATTCTCAGACACTCAGAGGCCAAAGTGATTTGCCTGAGTCTGACCACATCATCCCCGCCCCCACCTCCAGTGGTTCCCTATGACCTTCAGGTTGCCAAAGTCCTCTGCTCGGCATTCTGAGCCCTTCATCACCCACTTCTGACTTACCTTTGCCTTTTCTTGTGCCCTATAACCCAGCCAAACTGCCCTGGCTGCTCCTGTCCCATGTGCTATCTCCTGGAGCCCCTGGCTTTCCTCACTCAGACGTCCCATTCCACAGGAGGCCTTTCCTCATCCCACCCACCCAGATGGCTGTGGACTTCTGGTGCATTGCTATTTCTGAGCCTGTTGTCTCCTGGCACAGGGGCAAGGTGTTTGACCTCAGGCACATGGAGCCTTGTCCACGCGCCCAGCCCCAAAGCCACGCCATCGATGTCCACGGATTGACTGACTCGCCTCTACTCCGGGCTCTCTCCCTCCTTTCTCCCTGTGTTTTGCTGGCTCTGAATTTCTGGGTCATTCTGGGACTGATTCCTGTGCTGGTCTCATCTGGGGGGTGTGTGTGTGTGTGTGTGTGTGTGTGTGTGTGTCCCTCCCTCTGTCCCCCTTTCTCTCTCTATCCCTCTCTCTGTCTGTCCTTTCTTCCTCCCTGTCTCTCTCTGTATGTCTGTTCTTTTCTTTCTCTCTTCCTGTTTCTCTCTGCACTTTCTCCATCTCTCTTCCTCTATCTCTCCCTCTCTGCCTCCCCCATTTTGTCTCCTTCTGTCTTTCTCTCTCTCTATTCCTCTCCCTGTCTCTTTCTTCCTCCCTGTCTCTGTCTCTCTCTGTATGTCTGTTCTTTTCTTTCTCTCTTCCTGTGTCTCTGTCTCTCTCTGCACTTTCTCCATCTCTCTTCCTCTATCTCTTTCTCTCTCCCTCCCCCATTCTGTCTCCTCTCTCTCTTTCTCTCTCCCCCTCTCTCTTCCTTTGTCTATCCATCTGTCTGTTTCCTTCAGGTTTTGCTGCCCAGTGTACAAGACGAGGAGTCCAGGGCTCTGGGCTGAGGAGGCATAAAAACTTGGTTTATTCCATTGGGTTGGACACCTGACTCCCCACTCCCCAGGTCCCTCCCCTGCTGCAGGGTGGGGCTGGATGGGCTTCTGGGGCCCAGGCCAGGTTCTGAGGTTGGACATTGGAGGTCAGTTAGTGAGTGGGGGAGGGGACATGTGGTCTGGGAGGATGTCCAGGAGCACAGTGAAGGGAAGCCTGGGGCAGTGTAGGATTAGGAGTCAAAGAAGAGGGAGGATCAGAGTTCAGTTCGGGGAGACCCCAAGGTGTCTGGTGGAGGTTGGGGCTGGGGACGGTCTTGGGCTCAGGGTTAACAGTCTCAGGAGTTAGAGGCGAGGGATAAGGGGTCAGGCTCACAGTCTGGGGTCAGGGGTCACAGTCTCAGGGTCAGGGGTCACAGTCTTGGGGTCAGAGTCTCAGGGTTGGGGGGGGTCACAGTTTAGCGAGTGGCTCTCACAGTTTTGTGTCCCAATGATGAAGGTTAAAAACAGCCCCCTCTCCCCTGGGGGGTGGTCCCTGGTGGTATCTGGGGCACGGGGAGCAGCACAGTGATGGTGCAGGAGCCCCACAAGATGGGGCTGGGGCAGAGGGGAGGGGTGTGTGCTCAGCCAGACCCCCCCCTTCCCATATCATTAAAAAGCCCTTGTCAGGTTAAAAAAGCCCGCGGGGCTCAGGGACCCCCATCGCAGCCCCCCCTGGCTCTGTCTCATCAGCTTCCAGTCCACGGCCAGGTCGTGCTCCATGGTTTTGCGGCTGATCTGTGGTCCTTGGCCCCGGGGCCTTTGAGCTGCATCCATCCACAGGCCTTCTGCCCTGGGAGTGTCTTCTCCATGCCAGGCCAGGGGAGTTGGGGACAGGGTCGGTCATACCTCAGATTCGAGGCTGGAGAAGTGGGCAGAGCCACGGCGGGTGCCCAGGTCCCCCCCACGGTGTCTCCGGGGCATGGGGCCCCAGTGGGTAGCGTGAGGGCACCGGCGAGAGTGGCGGCTGTGAACCGGGGCCACCCGGGGACAAGAGCTCAGGTCCTCCAGGGAACGGGAAGTAGGTGCAGGTGGTGGGAGGTCCCACGCCCCCACGTGGCGCCGCCGGTGGGGGGGCTTGGCCAGATCTACGGCCAGGAGCCCGGTGGCCTCGGGGGCAGCGGCAGCGGGTGCGTCGTCGGTGGGGCCCGGCAGCCCATGGAGGGGGAGGGGGGTGAGGCGGGGCCCACCAGCCTCCATCCAGACCGTCGTGGGAGCAGCTGAGGTGGCGTGGGGGGGGGAGCAGCTCCAGGCTGGCACAGTGGCGACAATGCCAGGCTGCTGGGCCAGGGCGAGGGGGCAGGTAGTCCCAGCTGCCCGCCCGCCAGCCCCCCAGCTTGTCGACAGACCAGTAGCGACCCAAGCGGTCGGCATATGGATAGAAATCGGGGACCCACCAGGGCTCTAGGCCAGCTCCTGAGCCGGCCCCCAAGCTCTCCGAGTCGTCGGAGTCGGACAATTCAAGGTCCAGGTAGGGACAGGGTGGGGGCGGTGCTCGGCAAGGTGGCGGAGGAGGAGCCGCGGAGCTCCCCCCCGCCACCGGCTCCCCGAAGCAGGGGCTGGCTCTCGGGGTCCGAGCGGGGCCAGCGGGTCGGGGCCGGGGGGCTCTCATCCTCATAAGCCAGGTGACAGAGCGGGGCGGCAGGTGGAGCAGGTGGGGAGGGGTATCCAGCATAAGGGGCAGGGGCTGGTTCACTAGGGCCCGAAGCCTCCTTCTCTCTCACAATGGCAAAGTAGGAAGGAGGGGGCTTCTGGGGCGGAGGAGGCGGGGACATGGGCCGGGCCGAGCGAGGTGCCCGGGGCTCCCCCAGGCCCTGCGGCTCAATGGGCCCATAGTAGCGGTGGAAGCTGTCGGCCACGGCTCCTGGGAGGGGGGCACGAGGGGGGCCTGAGGCCTCAGGGGTGACAGGTACTGGGACGGGCCCAGCCCCGGGCCCCGCGGATGGCTTGGGCCGGCGCCAACGGTCCACCGCCACCCGCTCCCGGGGCGGGAAGGGGCCGGAGACTGTGGGTGCCAGGGCCGGACGGGGAGCTGGGTAGGCGGGGCTGGGCAGGGGCAGGGGCTGAGGGGGCAGGGGCTTGGCAGCCGGAGGGGCAGCTTCGGCACTACAACAGCTGTACATGCCCTGGAGGGGAGGAAGGAACCGGAGCCCCACTCAGGCCCTGTGCTGGCCCAGGCCCATCCCCGACCCGCGCCCCCCCCCCCCTCTCCCGTCCCAGGCTCACCCTGGAGAAGGCCAGCAGGAAGTCGAGGTGGTGCGTGGGGCCCAGGCAGTGACGCAGCCTCCAGTAGACCAGGTGCTCCCAAGCAAAGACCAGCAGGGAGAGGCCCATGGCCACGAGCAGCATGTAGAAGACCCCAGCCATGTTGTCAATGTCCAGCTTGCTACTCATGACCTCGATCTTGTCATTGTGGCAGATCCCGGACAGCCACAGGCGCTCCAGCATCTCGATCTCATCTGTGGGGGGCCCGGCTCAAGCCCAACCCAGCATTCCCAGGAATCCTAGGGTCCAGGGCCCCAGGCCCCCTTCCCTCAGCCCTCGCCCCTCCAATACCCAGAGGCCCAGAGCCCCCACCCCCAATCCCCCACCCTCCCCCATCTATCCGCCCCCGGGACGCCTACCATCCCCCAAGAACTGTAGCAGAGCCAAATCGATGGGCCGCTTCCAGCGGGAGCCCTTCTGCAGGGCAATGCCATAGCCCGTGGTGGCGAAGACCTTGCCCGAGCCAATGGTCACCAGTTTGCAGCCCTCGTCCTTGCGGGCCATGTAGTTGAGAACCGCAGCATCGTAGATGAAGGCGTCCAGCTTCCTGGGGGGCCAGGCCGAGCCAGGGAGGACGGGTCAGCCCCGGGACCTGGGGATGGCTGAGCCCCTGCCAGCAGCCATCATGGCACCAGCTAACCTGGGCAGGAGGTTCTCCTGCCTCCAGGCCACCTGCCTAATATATCCTGAGGTATCGCTGACCTCGTCCTGATCCCCGTGACCCCTTCACTCACTCTCATGGACCCCAACAGCCCCTCCCAACCACACTGTCCCCTCACTAACTCAACCCCTCTAACTCTGCACAGTCACCCCATCCTTCCTTCGAGGGCCCTCCCTGACCATCCTGACCTCTCCTGGACTCCCACTGGCCCCGCAGGGAGCCCTACTGCCCCTCCCCCGTCTCTTCGAGCCGCCGGCCCCCCGCTCGGCCCAGCTGCTGACCCGGCCTTCAGCTGGATCAGCGCCTCCTCCACACGGGGCTGGTTGTAGCGCACCATGTAGCTGTACATGGCCTCGTAGTTGCTGCGAATGTTCTTCTCCGTGGACCCGTTGGGCACGGTCCCGAACCTCAGGGGTGGGTATTGCTCTTGGGGCCGCTGGAACTGGAGGCACAGGAAAGGAGGGAGGGGCCGCCGTGAGCCAGGCCCAGCCCCAGAGTGCCCCCCCGCCCCCGGCAGGCTCCGTGCCCACCTTGCGGTCGCTGAGCCCGGACACGGTGTCCACGTACTCCTCTTGGATCATGAAAGCTGCCAGGTTGGCGGTGTAGCTGGCCAGGAAGATGACGGCAAAGAAGGCCCAGACCAGGACCATGATCTTGCTGGTGGTCCCGCGGGGGTTCTCCACAGGCACGGAGTTGTTGAAGACCAAGGCCCAGAGCAGCCAGATGGATTTGCCAATGGTGAAGGTGGAGCCGCCAGGGCCTGAGAGGTCGGGGGATACAGGGAGTTGAGGGCCCTAAGCAGGGCTGCTTATGGATTAGGGGCCTGAGAGGTCATGGGACATGGGGAGTTGAGGGCCCTGAGTAGGGCTGCTTATGGGCTAGGGGCCAGGGCCTGAGAGGTCAGGGGACACGGGGAGTTGGGGGCCCTGAGCAGGGCTGCTTACAGGCTAGGAGCCAGGGCCTGAGAGGTCAGGGGATCCGGGGAGTTGAGGGCCCTAAGCAGGGCTGCTTATGGATTAGGGGCCTGAGAGGTCAGGGGACACGGGGAGTTGGGGGCCCTGAGCAGGGCTGCTTACGGGCTAGGGGCCAGGGCCTGAGAGGTCAGGGGACACGGGGAGTTGAGGGCCCTGAGCAGGGCTGCTTACGGGCTAGGGGCCAGGGGCTCAGGTCTATGTGTGAGCCCTGGGAGAGGGAAGGGAGGTGGCCTACAGCTCGAGGCTTGGCCCAGGCCGTTGGCTGGAAGGGGAGGTGGTGTGGGCTGGGCAGGAGGACTCACGCTTGCCAGTGGCCAGGCTGCGGTTGTAACCCACAGGACTGAGGTACTCAAAGATGAAGACAGTGACGGCCACCACGGTCAGACACATGACAAACATCATGACCCAAACGGCCGGACTATAGGGCTCTGTAGGGTGGCAAGAGGGAGGCAGGAGGTCATAGCACCCATTGCCCTGTGGCCTAGCCCCCCTCACTACTGGAGCCCCTGGGCCTAGGCCCCAGGGTGCAGCATAAGCTTCAACCCAGAGAGAGTGTGCACACAAACATGCATACACCCACACGTGTGCATGGACACACATGCCCACACCCACATACACACATGTACAATCCTGCACGCACACATCCATGCACATCCATACGTAGAGACAACACATACATGTCCATACGTACTGCACACACATGCACACAGTACAGTCCACACATCCACATGCACATATGAACACACATGTGCACATTCACACAGTGCATGAACACACACGCAAAATCCATATACATTCACATACACACACGCGCGCGCGCGCACACACATCTGCAGAGAGACGCTGTACTCAGGAGATGCTTGGCCCCGCTGAACAGCAGGCCTGCGTCCCTGGCCTTCTGGAAGGCGAGACTCTCAGGCCCCTCGCCCCTAATCTACAGGGTGGCGGGGCAGTGAGCCCCTCCTGCCCTTCTGCTGGCCCAGCACCCTGGCCGTCTCTTTGCCCTTCATCTCATCCACACCGTGGCCCTCCCGTTGCAATGACCAGCGCCGCCTTCTTGCATGACATCCGGCCTCCGTGACCTTGGCTGACTCCCAGTGTCTCTGCTGAGGCCCACGCTTCCTGGGGTCAGTGGGACGTCTGCTGACCCTGGAGCCCGTCTCTCCGTGTCGTGTCTCTCTGCTGCCAGGCTCCACGTTCTTTGGTCCCCGCGCCTCTGCCCAGCATCCCTGTCTGCCGGTGGCCCGGCCACGACCCATCCCTGCCTCTTCCCTGTCCTTGGGCTTTCCACAGCCCCGCCATCTTCCAAGCTTCCCCAAGAGGCAACCTTCAGACCCCCTCTCACTCTTCCCTCTCCCCCAAGGCCAGGTGCTTCTGCTGCTGCTACCTCGGGCCCCTCCCATCTAGCTTTGATCACGGCTCTGCTGTTCACAAGCCCTCCTGGTTCACCAGCTCCCACCACAGCACACAGGACGGGCATCAGGCCGGTGTCCAGGGCTCAAGATTAGTCTTAAGAAGAAGCGATGGTGGGGTCTGGGAGGCCCTGAGGACAGAGCCTAGATCTCCTCTGCCCCGTCCCGTCTCAATGCCTCAAACAGGGGGGACGAGGCCCTTCCAGTGGGCTGACAGTCATGACCCTCCATCAGACTCCCCTCTTGGAGTCGCCTCCTTCTAACTGGGAGCCCCCTGGGGACAGGGACAGGGTCTCTGGGCACTGGCTGGGTCCTGGGCTCACCCAAAAAGGCGGATGGTGACACCGTCCCATTGCTCCTGGCCACCATCACGCTGATGCCTGTCTCCACAAAGGGTACGGAGAAGTCTACTATTTCTGATCTCTCCTCGTTGATGGTGAGGGAGCCGATGGCCATGTCTGCCCGCTGGTAGAAAACCTTGACCAGGAGCCGACCAAAAGAGAAATCAAAGAGAGAGGGGGGATGGGGAGGCGGGAGGAGAAAGAAGAGGAAAAGGGAGGATGAGCAGGAAAGGAAGAGGAGAGAGAAGGGGTCCAAGGGGAGAAATGAAGGAAAATCAACTGGATGGAGGAGAGCGAAATGGGAGCTCAGAGGGCAAGGATGGGGGCTGGGCGTGGGGGGCCCCTGGCCCTCCTCCCTCCACCTCTCCCCCCATCCACTCTCTCCCCTCCAAGCTGGGCCCACCTCCCCAATCATGCCGTTCCAGACGCCATCGATTTTCTTCCCATGTTTGCCATTGGTGACGAGGTAGAGGTCATAGCTGAAGCCGATGGTCTGGGCCAGGCGCTTAAGGATGTCGATACAGAAGCCTTTACAGCAGCGTTTTTCTGGCCGGGGGGCATCTGGTGGGGGGCTGGGGGGTAGAAGGGCAGGCATGGGGCTGGAGCCTCGATCTTCCTTGCCCTCTCTGTAGTCTTGGGCGCTGGTGGAGCACCCCAGCTCTCCTTGGGTTCTCCTTCTACCTGTGGGGTGGCCCTATGCTCCTGGGGGATGCTGTCCTTAGTGCCTGTGAGCTCCCCAGGGGTAGGACTCCCATGAGCACCCCCTGGCTGACTGTGATCTCCTCCCCCTCTCATAAGGTGGCACCAGGCCACCCACTGACCAGGAGCACCCCCAGGGAGGTGCCTCAAAGGCCCAAGAATCCTCTCCACACAGGGCCCCGCTTGGTGGGATGAAGGGCCTAGTGCCCTTCTAGACAGCAGGAATTGTTAGCAAGTTTTTCCTTCTCTCTCATTGCCACTCGTTGCTTCTAGTTCTGGCCTCCTGGAGCCCAAGTGAACAGACCACTCCTTCCATTATGGACCAGAGGAGGAGGGTCATGGCAGCAGCCATGAATGCCCCGGGGCCTCACCCTCTCCTCTGGCCCTAGGTGCTCACCAGAGCTCCACCCTCCGCCCCAACGGCGTTCTGCCCACCAACCCAGACGGGTGCTCAGCCTCGGCCACGCTTGGCCCCTGGAAAATTGGAATGAGCTGATCCCCTCCCCAACAGCAGGGCTTTCCAGTGAGAGGGGGGCTGGGAAAATTCCTCAGGGAGTAAATGGTGGCACCAGCCTGCCTTTGCCTGGCTCCTGAGCCTCAGTGGGGGTCTCCTTAAGCCCCCAGTCTCCAGCCTCTGCTCGTCTCTCTGCATGTGGTAGCCGAGGCACCCCCGCATGCCTCCTGTTACGTCTCTGACCCCTCCTTATGTATTTCCAGCAGCTTCATCTCCCTCCCACCTGCCTGGGGAGTGGGCACCGGAAGCCTGCCATCCACACTAGGGGACCACCAGAGAGTCATTTGGCTTGTAAGAGCCTCCCTAAAAGGGGATGATAGCACCTTTCGTACCCAACTCCCAGGATTGATGTGAGAACCAGAGAAGGTACGTAAGGCAGGAAATCTTTGATCTCATTGACACGGGCACTTCCTCCAGGATGTAGGTTGGAACGCACCCCGACCTGTCCCTCGGGGTGACCGTCCTCCACGCCCTCCTCGACAGCGGCCAGGGGAGGCTCACACAGGGCACTGGGGGCCAGCCCCCTCTTTTCTCACTTCATTGATATCGAGTGGACACCAAGTGGCCTGTCCCTGGCCTCTCCCTTGATCTTGTCTAGTGACCGGCCCATCTTTTTTTCTGGCCACAGATTTCTCCAATGCATACCTCACATGGCATCTACAGCACAGTCTTAATGACTGTGACGTGTCCCAGCTGGCTCTCTCTGCTGCCCTTTTAATTTTTCGGAAGCCTCAGTGTTCTCGGACTTGCAATTCCACCTCCTGGCCAGAAGATCAAAAGTGTCGAAGGGGCCCGCGCTTGGCATCAGTGACAGAAAAGGAACACTTTCCCCAAGGCCGTCCATTCTGGCACCAGCTGCTAGGATAGTCCGCTTTTATCTTTGAGGGTGTTCTCATGGCGCGACCCGCTCTCTTGAGCCGTCCGCCAAACTGTATATCCGAGTATTGATGGACAACAGGCTTTCTTCATCCACTTACTTTTCCCTGTGTGAACACTGTTGATTCTGGATCTCACTTAGAAGGCTCTGTTCTGGGACTGGACGCAATTGCACAATGTCGCTGGCCGCTGAGTCCAGGCAGGCCTCGCCATTTACGGGGAAGCCCATCCGCACCGCCTCATCCCCGTGGCAGATGCCGTTGGTGAGCGCACGACTCCTTTTCCCCCCCTTGCCTGATATTCCTAGCCAGAGGTTTATCAGAGAGTGGCACCTCGGTTGTTAACACCTTTCAAGGAGGCTCATATGATTTTGACACAGGCACAGGTGGTCACTTTGTCAGTGGGGTGCTTTGAAGGCAGGCCGTATTCTGCCTTACTGAATTAAGTGCTTTTTAAAAATGTCCAACAAACAATAAACATAGGAATTTTTTCCCCTATGCCTTTTAGTCAGTTGGTGATTTTGTAAAGATGTGATCAGCTCCGAGCATGTCCCTGAGGAAGAGATGAGAAGATGCAGCTCTCCCCCTTCTCTGAAGGAGTGGGGGACCAGGGGGGCGGAACACTGCATCGCTGCTGTCAGACTTGGTTGACGCGGTGCTTAGTTTTTCTGAATTGCCTTTTTTCCCTGTCTTTTAAAGATATCCATTTCAAGTGTAGTGCACTGAGGGCCCTTTCTCCCCCTACTCACAACTGCAAGTCAGGTCCCTGGGAGGGACAGCTATCCCAGGTTTAAGGCATTCCAAAAGCTACCGTGTGTAAGTCCCCACCAGCATGTTTGATTTCAGTGGTCAGCCTGGGAACACAATTAGCTTAAAGCAAAGGCAATTACCACAGTGGCATAGGAAGGAAAAAAAGTCACCCCTATGAACCTGGGGCACACTCCCCTAATCTAAGCAGCATCAGTGCAGAGGCTGGTTCTCCATAAAGGTCCCAAGTAGAGAGGCAGGCATCCAGACAGGAAATGTGTGTGAGGAGGGGCGGGCCGGTGGTCGCTGCTGGACGCTGCTTGGCTAGAGCCTTCACTGCTTCAGTTTTCTGCCCAGCCAGATTCTTTGGGGCAGGATGTTCCAGCTAGGATGCTCCATAGGGACTGTATGAATCACCCGTCTCCTTTTTCAGGGAGGAGGAAGCAACAGGAAATCATCTTTCTCTTGGCTCTAGAATCTAGAATCTCCAGGACCTGGAATTCTGGACCTTAGGAGTTAGTCATGAGACAGCTCTCCAAGCTGGTAACTGCTCCAGAAATCTGGTCCACAGCTAGGGGTCTAGAATCTGGGACCCTGCTGCCCAGGGAATTGAAAAACCCAAGAAGCGATTGCCTTGAATTTCCTTCTCACATCTCCTGCAGTCACATGTGTCTGCTCCAGAGCCCCATTGCCAATGGTGGGGGGGGAGGGAGAATCATCTACTCCCCCAGCCTCACCCTCGGTGTACTCTCCAGGAGGTCCAAAGGAAAGCCTGAAGCCTGAGTCATCAAGAACTGAACTGACCCTCTGAGAGTGGAACCAGATGGCTTTCCGAATGGCGCCAGGGGTGTGGCCTGTCCTGCCTGGGCTTCATCTGAGGGCCGACATCTGATAAAGCAACAGGCAGTTCGCGATCTGTTCCTAAGGTGGTTTAGGAGGATTCCCTGAATGGATCAGAGACTGCCCAGGTCCACCTCGGTTATCCCCTTCCCCCAGCTCAATAATTGCCTCTGTTCCCAGGCAGTGGAGGGGAGCACCAATGACCCATGTGGGGCCATCACCAGTCTGAATGATTCTCTGAGGACTTGGGGAGGCTTAAGCATTGTCCTCACTCTAGAGCTTCTGCAAAGTCCACTCAGCCTCCTAGGACGATACAGTGACTGACCATCCCGGGAGGGTCCTGACCTATGGGAGGTAATGGGCCTGAAGAATGTGCTTACTCTCAAATACACAATTATGCCATCCCAAGAAATCAGCTCTTAGGAAATCCTCTTTTACCACCTATTTCAGTACTTACAGAGGCCCTTTTCAACCCAACAGCAATTAGAAAAGGGAAGAAAAAATCGAAGATAGCAAAATCAAGCCAAAAGGACCAAAAATGACCTTCCCTTCTCAGAGAGTCTGGTGCTAAATGAGTTTCCAAAGCACAGGAGGTCAGTGAGCTAGAATCAACTGGAATCTCACATTCAGATGAGAAACCAAACCGGGGAACATTCCTCGAATGTCCTGTCTATACAGCCACAGCTGGTGTGTGTCTCCATTGGGTCCCTGCAAAGCCCCACAACATTCCAAATCGAGACCTGAACTCAGCCCACGCTAGTCCAAGCTGGCTACCTTAAAATCATATCACAAAGTGCTCAGATTCCTTAAGAACCTAGCCAACAGCTCACAAATGTTCAGATTCAGGGGTAGCTAGGTGGTGCAATGGATACAGCACCGGCCCTGAAGTCAGGAGGACCTGAGTTCAAGTCCGGCCTCAGACCAAACACTTGACACTTATTAGCTGTGTGACCCTGGGCAAGTCACTTAACCCCAATTTCCTGAAAACAAAAAAAAAACCCCAAAAACCAAATGTTCAGATTCCTTAAGAGGCGGGCCAATATGGCGGATCTTTAATAAACCTTGTCTTTAGCTGAAAAAAATAGAAACCATATCACAGAAACTCGGAAAACCCCAACGATGTGAGGGCCGCCAAAACAGGCATTATACACGTGGTATTGGTTCACCATTGGACAAACTTTATCCTCTGGACTTAGAGTCCTTACCATCATGCAGAAGCCATCCCGGGCCATGTCACAAGAGCAAAGCCACCACAAAAATCCTCCCATAGCATGCTGTCAGTTCGAGTCTTTCTGAAGTCATTCGCTCCTTTGACAAGAGGTCCTTCGTGCGGCCCTTGGCGCATTGCCAGTGCACCAGTATTCTTGGTGTGTAACATGCATGTGACTCAGGTCACCTCCCGTACTTATGGTAAACACAGCAATACAACAGATGTCGCTACTGAAGGACATTTTCCCCAGCGGATCCCTAAAATACAAGGGCATCTAAGATAAGAGATGCCGGCAGAGCCCCCCAACTTGAACTCACAGGTTGGGACCTCGGGAGGAATGGCCATCCCATCTTCAAAGAAGTTGGTCTACACTCTTAAAACTATAGCTCATGCATGAGCCCCCATCAATGTGTTTGCCTTCAAAAGACAGCCAGAGAATACAATAAGCTCAAAACAAAGGGAATTACTGAAATTACACAATGAGAAAGAAGCAATAAAACATCTCTCCCATAAGCCTAGGGAGCCCTCTCTCACCTGGCATTAGTGGGGGAACTGGACACACACAGAGGCCACAAGAGGCACCCATGTGTCATGTACATATTGTCAGGGAGTATGTGTGTAAGGAGGGGACAACTCACGCCTCGGATGGATGCCTTAGGGCCGCTAATGTCCCCACATTAGTCTCCACCAGACTCTGCTTGTCAGCCATCTCCTTTGCCTCCAGCTTCTGGCTCAGCCGGAATCCTTGGGGGATTTGCCTTTCGGGAGGAATGCTGGGTTGCACTGTCTCCTTCCCTCTCTGTGGAGCAGGAAGCATCAGGAAATCTCTACAAGATCCAGAGCTTGAAACTCTCAAACTGTATTTCTTGAACTTGGAGTTAACCATGAGGCAACTCTCAAAGCTGAATCTCCCTTCTCTGTTGGAAGGCTAGATTCTGGGATCATGCTGTCTAGGGAATTGCTTTGCATGTTAGACTGTAAACTCCCCGAGGGCAGGGACTGTCTTTTGCCTCTCTTTGTATCCCCTGTGCCTGGCACAGAGTAGGCCCTTAATGTTTATTGGTGGATTGATCAATTGGCAGAAGTCTAGGGTTTCAGAAGCAATGTCCTTGAATCCCCCCATCAGGTGGCTGCAAAGTGCCTCCCCTCAATGCCTTGTCCAAGAGCTCCCGAGAATTCAGTCTTTCCTGCAGTGGTGACTCCTCCGAAAGCCTTCCTCCAGCTCACCATATCAGAGGGGCAGTCCCTTGGTTTTAAGTCTGCAAGGGCAAGGCTGATCCTCTGGCAGTCCGTTAAGTACCTGCATCCAACCATCTTATCACATAATCAGCCACCATAAGAAGCCGCCCTTTAGCTCCATCGGGCTGTTTGGAAAAGCTCCTTGAAACTGCCCTGATCTCCCTCCTGCAGGCTTCCCAAAGGGGAGAAACAGATTTGGAAATAAAATGATTGAAAATGGAACTATCGATACTTGACTCCTTTCTTTCTTTCTTTTTTAAATCCGGAACCTGCTGTAGAAAAGCATCTGCAAAAGCCTGGACATTCCCTCGTCACACTTTCACCAAAGATGCCCTCAGATTGTTCTCCTAAAAATTCTGTGCCCATCGAGGACTGCCGGCTGACGGCTGATTGGTCAGCGGCTATTTGCGGTCTCTTGGGCAGTAATAAGGCCCCAGGCTTTTTCCACACCATGAGAACTCTCTGCTCTTTGGAGCCTGAGAAGGGAACACTTTGGCCCATAAGGCTGCCTCGTGGGCATTGAGGCCCTGCCCTGTGGGTCTGCTTGTGCACTCCTGGCTGCTCCAGCCGCTTTTCCATCATGGTTGTCTCTGGTGCTAAGCCCACATCCCGTGCGATGGTGACAGTGAAGTCCAAATGGGGTGGCTCTGTTCTCCAGGGTGGTGAAAAGGCATTTGCTTGGAAAAACCATGTGTTGGCCTTTTCCCTTTGGTGAAGTGATACTGCTCTAACAGTGCGGGGTGGGGCTGTTGGCTGGAGGAGGGAGAGCAGCACCTGAAGCAGCATCTCTACAGGAGGAGAAGGTGGCAGCTTGCCCCTGGGAGAGGCATGCTGATGTGACGGGAAGGGCTTCCTTGGAGAGACAGACGTCCTGCAGCTGGCGCTGGTTGGCTAACCACATGGTAAATGGGGGCTCTTTGGCTTCAGAGACACTGAATAGACTTTTGTTGTGCCTAACATCATTTCCCTTCATCCCAGCACTTTGGGAGGATCTTGGCAATATATTGAATCAAGGCATCCTGTGAAAACCACACTGGGAGGGTCCTTCTCCCCTCTGAGGTCGTGAGCCTTGCTAGGTGAAAGGAATGAATTCTCCACCACTTTGTGGTGTTCTAGAGGTCCAGAGGGTTCCCAGGCAGCCTCGAGGCCCTGAGGAGTGAGAAGTCTCCTTCTTGGGGAGGGAATCAAGGGGATTAGGACAGTAAGTAATGAGCCCAGAACCCAGCCAGCAGCCCTGTTACCTTTGGATGGGCACTCGGGGGCACCGATGCTATGGAGGAACTGAGTGTTCTTGAGCTTGCCCTGCCCCAGACATTGTGGTCCTGTTAGTAGGGAAGGGTATGTTCCCCACACCCCCAGGGTGTTGGGGAGGAAGTGTCAGTACATCTGTTCCTGATATGGCTCTGAAGTAACTAGGACTTGGTAAAATCAGATGCCTGGCAAGGGCCTAAGCAGAAGCAGAGGCTGGTCACTGGCCCATGGGCCCATAACTGGTTGGGGCCTAAATCAAAGGCAGCAGAGGGAGCGAGAGAGGCCCATGAACCTCTGGTGCACTGAGCATGCCTGCTAGACTGCTCATCACCTTCTGCCATCTTCTCTCATAAAACTCGAAAAAGACCTTTCTATTCCAAACTAGGGTTGGCCCTGGCTTCACCATTGCTTTCCTTGGGGTGGGGCTCAGATGGTTTCTAGGCTCTTGGCTCCTGGTAACTGATTCACATTTGGTCTTTATGAGATCATCGTGATCTTTATAGAAGTCCATTCTTCCATCCATTTCCCAGTTTCCAGGCCTTTCTCATTTTTCCTTTGGTTCCCTTCAAGGCTGTCCTCAAGTGACATCTCCTTTCTCATGCCTCCAGGTGTCAGGGTTTACCTTCATTACTTCTATTTATTCTGCATATATCCCATATTTACTTATCTGCAAAAACTGTATGCTTACAGGAGAGTGTTAATTTCTGGTGGCCAGGAAGCACTGCATTTTCACATCAGTGACACCCGTTTCTGGCTTAGTACTTGGCACTAATAAATGCTTGATACTGATTGGCGCTCACATCCCTTACCTGCTAAGATATAACCCATCACCTTTCTGGTGAATTTATTTACTGCCTGCTTTGGCCAATACCTCATGTATCTTTGCCTGCTATGACCAATTCCTACTGGGTCTTTTCTCAAAGAAAGTATCTGATAGTTTGAGGCTCCTATAACTGTCCACGAGCCTTCTGCCTCTCTCCTTCCTCTCCTACAGACTTTCCACCATCTTCCTACCTTTGCATCCAAGTCACCAAGTCCCAAAGAATACGTTGACTTTATTTGGAGGATCTCATTGAGTTCTTCATAGAATTTGTCTATGACTGACATTGACACGTAGGCTGCCATTACGTTTATGTTTCGGGCTTTTCTGACAAATATCTATTGTGCTGCTTTAATAAGAGATGGTACATTGCTGTCTCTCAATAAAATCATCACCTTCTGATGTATGACAAACCCAACTCTGCCAATTTGGGCTTCTGCCTCTCCAGGGAGAAGTAGTGAGGCTTCCTACCATTGAGCTGCTGCTTCCTTTGGCCTCTTGGCTTCACTTCATTGACACTGAGGAGGCCATAATTGAGAAGATGCTTTTCGTCCAGGTGTATGTCCCCTGGGTCACTGGACAGGGAGTTCCCAAGGAGAGTACCAATGACAAGGTCAGTGTTTCTAGATCGTCTCATAACTGGGGTTCCTGGTGCCCTCTGCACCACACAGGACCAGGTGTCAGTTGGCATTTGACTTTGTAGCATGGTTTGCTTTGATCCAACACTTCCACGCCAAGTGGCCACGCTATTATCAATGATGAGTCTCAGAACACTTTGCTAGGTGGGACCTTGGCAAGCGGGCACGTTTGTTTCTAGAACTGTATTCAAAACTTCCATAGCCTTGAAGAAGGTACCTGGGCCTGGGCTTCATGGGCATAGCCTCTGGGAACCAACATCATCTCCATGCTATCATCAGGCATCAGAGGAAACTTTGGGTGGTGGCTATCATTACTGTTTACTTATTATTATTATTATTATTATTATTATTATTATTATTATTATTATTAACAACCACCATCTTCTCCCTTTCAATATTCTCTGTGGGCGATGTCATCGGCTGCCACAAATTCAATGACCATCTTCACACAGATGACTGCCAGGTACCAAGCTCCAGCCTCTCTCCTGAATGCCAAGTCATGCCTTTCCACGTGGACGCGCCATCACCCTCTTGAACTGACCTCCGACTGTCCCCCCTTATGTGAGCGTCCTCCCAGATTCCCTCTTGCTATGTACGGCCTATTCAACGTCCTTCCTCCCAGGCCTGGGCTCCTGATCCCACAGCTCTCTTCCCACCATCCATCTTTGCCTCGTCTCCACTCACCTCCCTCTTACCTGAACTACCCCAGCAGCTGCTCCAGCTTCGCACCCCGACCACACTCCCTGAGCCTTTTCTCTGAAGCCCAACTCTGGGCATGGCATGCCTGTGGCCAAGAGCTTGCCCCAGAGACTGAGGCATCTCAACTGCCCCTCCTTTCTCTGCTGCTGTAAGGTCCCCAAGTGCTTTCTCACAACAGACCTGGGGCCGGGGCCATTTTATTATTACTTATCCCTACTTTAAAAAAGGAAATTGAGATTCTTGGAGTTCGAGCAATTTGCTCATCACTGCAGCTCTAGTGAGGGTCAAGTAGAGTCAGAGCCGCGTCTATCAGTTCCAGTGCAGAGTTCTTCTCACTGCCTTTGATATTCTTGGCCTGGCATTCAGCCCTTCTACAACCTCGTTTCTCCTAATGTTGCCCTTGGTGGACTCTCCTTTCCAGAGAGATGGACTACAGCCTCTCCCTGCCTTCGCTTCCCTCTCTAAATACAGGCAGAGGAGCCCTAGCCCTGGCACCTGCTTTTCCTTCACAATGCAGCTTGGGGCCCATCTTCCAGAAAGCCTCCCCCAGGAGATCCCCCAAGCTGAAGACAGTCTGGTCACAGTCTCCTTGCATCCTGATGATTTCTGCACAAGGGATGGCCGTTCCACTCTCCCACTCTATGGCAGTTTTTCTATTTCGGCATCCCCCACACTGAGCTGTCATACACACGTAGTAAATGAGCTCTCTCTCCCTATCTCTGAACCACGTTTGTCACAGATTTTCCTGTCTTCCCTGCCACCCGCCTGCAGCCAAGACCTTGTGGCCCAAAGAATGAGTGGGTTTCTCTACCTCTGCAGCTGCCATTGCCCCACGAACTACAGATATTGGACGAATGTGGACCTGAATGCCAGGGTACCAAGTAGGGGCTGAGGCTGGGGGACACCGAGGGAATAGGGTCGGGGGGGGCAGGTGTCCCACCTGTGCGTGAGGTTGAGCTGGCTACGGCAGGGCACAGAGTCCCGGATGCAGGTGCCACTGAGGGGGTCGGCCGGCTCTACGATCACAAAGGGCCGCTCTTCCAGGGTGGCCACCATGAGGTGCTGGGTGTCGTCCACGGGCTGCAGGAAGCGGCCGTAGCGAGACCACAGAGGGTACTTAAGCCGAAGCGACTGTTGCTCCCAGGTCCCCACCTGGCCGTCAGGAATGAAGAGGAGAATTGGCGTCCGGATGCCTCTGGGGGCCTGCCTCCCAAGACCCGGCTCCCAGGCCCTCATACTCACCACCTCCCACGTCCGGTCCTTAGTGAGAGAGATGACCACAAGGGAGGGATTCACCAGGAAGCCGTCCTCGTTGAAGGAATAATCCCGATTGTCCCAGGAGATATTCATGAAGTACCTGCCGGGGTCAGAGGGGGGACAGTTTCGGGACAGAACCCCGGGGCCTTGGGAGGAGATGGGCGTCACTAACCAGAGGCCCTTCTGTGAGGAGGACCACAAGGCCTGACCTCTGCCTGGCTCTATGCCTTCGATGGCCCACCGACCGGCTGACTGGAGGACCGCTACCCTACCCGGCATGGCTTGTCTTCCTGGCTGAGAACTGGGACTGTCAGTGCTCCTCTTTGCATTCTTCATTCATTTGTTCCTGCCCTCGGCGCCGGCTGAGGGGCCTTTCCTCCCTCGCTCAGTCAGGCCGCTCTCCCAGGGTCACCTCGGCTCCTGGCCACTCCCTTCCCAAAAGCTTCCTCATTCAGTCCCTGACTACCAGCCTGGCCCATGCCCCCCCCCCGTGGCCATACTGCCATCCAGGGCCTTTCGTCTCAGTGGTCAGCCCCCTGGCCCCCAAGCAGGGTCCTTACCGGTGCAGGCTCTCTCCCCGCTGGCTACGGTTCTGAGCTCGACAGTCCTGACCCAGCTCAGGCAGGAACCCATAGTCACGAAGCAGGGCCTGGGCTCCCCGGGCGACCACCGCCACGCCGGCTGCCACTCTCTTTGCCAAGTCGTCCCGCCAGCCAGCTGACCGGACCGCAAAGAGCCCCGCGGGTAACTGGGCGCCCCCTGGCAGGAGAGGCGGCTCCCCAGGCCCGCCCCCTCCACCACCCCCTGCCAGCTGGGGTCCCACCATGAACCACACATAGCCAGGGCCCGTCAGGCCAGCGGTGGCTGCCGCCCGAAACAGTGGCTCTGCCTCCTCCCGGGCACAGAAAAGCAGGCGTATCTGGGCACTGAGACTGCGTAGGCGGGCGCCAAGCACCTCCTCACCAGCCCCGGGGTCCAGGGTCAGAGCCCCCCGGTGCTCCCAGCCCACCAGGCTCCCGTCGGTCAGCGCCTCGATATAAGCCAGGAAGGCGCGGTGGCCAGGGGCCGCTGTGGTTACTGCCACAAAGGATGTCCAGTCATATTCCTCCAGCACCTCAAAGATCACCTGCAGCTGCTGCTCTGTGGAGGAACCCAGCTGGAGGAAGGTAGAGCCCTTCTCCTGGGGAGGACAAGGGAAAGGAAAACAGGACCAGAAAGTGAGAGCTGGCAATGGCCAAGACATCATTCAGGACCCCCTTCTTCTTATACAGAGCAAGAAACTGAGGCGTGGAGGGTGTGTGTGTGTGTGAGTGTGTATGTGTGTGTGTATGTGTGAGTGTGTGAGAAAGTATGACTGTGTGAGTGTGCGAGAGTATGAGTGTGAGTGTATGTGTGAGTGTGTGAGTATGTGTGAGTGTGAGTGAAAGTATGGGTGAGTGTGTGAGAAAGTGTGAGTGAGTGTGTGTATGTGTGTGAGTCTGAGTGTGTGTATGTGTGTGAGCACACAGGGTCATGTGGAAAGTCTAGAATTCAAGTCTGATAGCCCTGGGAGATCCTCTAAGTCAACTCTCATTCACAGATGGGAAAATGAAGCTTGGGCTGGGCAGCAGACTTCTCTGGGGTCATACAGTCAAGCCAGGGGCTCCAAGTATGATGCCCTGCTGTCCTCTCAGCCAGAGACCGTACAGCTCCTAACAGGCCACTGGGCTCAAGAGCAGATTCCAGGTTCCCGTAGGCCATGAGGCAGCGAAGGGTCACTGCACTTGCCCAGATTACAGATTCCAGAGACCAAGAGATACAGAGATACAGATACAGAGACCAGGAGGCCACATGTCCCAGCAGCCCACAGGGCAGGGAAGGTGCTACAACTACGCCACTGAGCAGGAGACCCTAGAAGGTCATGCTGGGTGGAGGGAGGGTGGGACCATGTGCCAAGGAGAAGGCACCAGGGCTGGCACCCTCCCCAACTCTGCTCATCCCGACCCCCCATTCTCTCTCAAGACTTCTGAAAGCTCCTACCCTTACCCCATCACAGGTGGCCCCCATGTTATTCCTCAGCTCCCCCACTGGGGCCTCTTGTCCCTAGACACCCTCCCACCCTCCCTGACTGTCCTATATGGGCACATTCCCATACGGACCTTGCAAAGGCCAACCTTGTTATGAGAGGATGGGGTCAAGGGGAGAGGCCGCCATTGCCACCCGGGTGCTCCCACCTCCACTCCTGGGCCCTGAGGTACCTTCCAGTGCTGGTGGGCAAGGCAAGCCCTTCCCCGATAGGGGTCTCAGCCCCGCCCCCCCTTCCCCAACCCTGGTCTCCCAGGCATTTGACAGGTATCTTCCTCTAATACCACAGCCCAGGTCTGGAGCACTCTGGGCCTGCTCACTGCCCCACTGCCCCAGCTGGCCAGTCACCTTGGGTGTGAGGACGAGAGCTGCGCCACCGTGAACGGCCACAATGGGCAGGGCAGTCTGAGCAGAAAGGAAGTCCAGGATAGGGGCGACTGCTGGCGCACGGGAATCGTCCTCAAAGACGACGCCGTGGACACGAAGGCCGGAGAGCAGGTCACACAGCTGAAGCATGAGGCTGCGCGGGTCAGTGCCATTGAGGACCAAGGCCACGGGGCGCACCTCCAGGCCTGGACTGCGGACAGCGGCAGCCACAGTGGGGCCCAGGCGGGCTGCCTCCCCCGCATAAGCTGGCCCCGAGAACACCAGCGCCACATTGAGGGGCCGCCCAGTGCCCGGCTCCCCGATGCTGCCACTGCTCAGCGGGGGAGCCACCTCGGGGAAGGGGCTGGCACAAGCCAAAGCCAGGAGCAAGAGCATGTTAGCTGGGCCTGGAGGGCCGTGGGGGCCGAGGGGGCCACGCATTTCCTGGGGGCCCTGCTGGGCAGCCTCTAATGGCCCAAAGGGGGAGAGAGAGAGAGAGAGAGAGAGAGAGAGAGAGAGAGAGAGAGAGAGAGAGAGAGGAGAAAGAAAAGAGAGGGGGAGAGAGAGAGACAGAGAGAGAGGAAGACAGAGACAGAGAGATAGAGACACAGACAGACAGACAGAGACAGACAGAGAGAGAGAGGAGGGGGGAGAAAGAGAAAAAAGAGGAAAGAGAGAGGGAGAGAGAGATGGGGGAGAGACAGAGACAGAGACAGAGACAGATAGAGAAAGAGAGAGAGAGAGAGAGAGAGAGAGAGAGAGAGAGAGAGAGAGAGAGAGAGAGAGAGAGAGAGAAGGGGGGAAGAGACAGAGAAAAGAGAGGAGGGAGAAAAAGAGAGAGGGAGAGAGAGATGGGGGAGAGAGAGACAGAGAGAGAGAGGAGAAAGAAAGAGAAAGAGAAAGAGAGAGAAAAGAGAGAGAGAGGAGAGGAGAGAAGAGGAGAGGAGAGGAGAGAGACAGAGACAGAGACAGAGGGAGAGGAGGAGAGAGAGAGAAGAGGGGGAGAAAAGAGAGGAGAGAGAGATAAAGAGGGAGAGAGAGATGGGGGACAGGGAGAGAGAGAGAAAGAGAGAGAGGAGAGAGAGAGAGAGAGGAGAGAGAGAGAGAGAGAGAGAGAGAGGAGAGAGAGAGAGAGAGAGAGAGAGAGAGAGAGAGAGAGAGAGAGAAAGAGAGAGAGAAAGAGAAAGAGAGAGAGGAGAGAGAGAGGAGAGAAGAGGAGAGGAGAGGAGAGGAGAGGAGAGGAGAGGAGAGGAGAGGAGAGGAGAGAGGAGAGAGACAGAGGGAGAGGAGAGAGAGAGAGAGAGAGAGAGAGAGAGAGAGAGAGAGAGAGAGAGAGAGAGAGAGAGAGAGAAAGCATGAACAGAGATAGTGGCAGACACGGATTGGAACATCAGAGAAACAGACAAAATCAGGAACAGAGGTGGAGACATGATCAAAAATTGGGCAGAGTGTGAGGGACATGGACAGAGATGGGGAGGCAGAGACCCAGGGGTGAAAACAAGCAAGGCAGAGGGGTAGAGAAATGAGGGCAGAGAAAGATGGGGACAGAGAAAGGGAAAGGAGCCCAGTGACAGGATTGGGGATACAAGGGCAGGGCAGAAGGACAAAGGCACATAGGAAGTCAGAGGCCCAGGGACAAGGCAGAAAAACAGGCAGGGACAGAGGGACAGTGACAGGGAAAGAAACAACCACATGTCCAGGTTAGAGGCACATAGGGTAAAAGGTAGGGAGAAATATAGAGCCAGGGGAGATTGACGGAGATAGAAAAAAGGAAGAAACAAGAGGGAGGGAAATGCCAAGAGAGAGACATACACAGAGAGAGACAGAGACATGGAGAGAAACACAGAGAGACAAGCAGAGAGACATCCCCCCACCCCCATCCCCCAGGGAGGCAAGGATGAAGGGCAGAGCCGGATGGAGGGCAAACGAGAGAAAGAAAAATTCGAGAGAGGAGGGAAGAAGAGAGGAGGAGGGGTAGACAAAAAAGAAGAGAGGGTCAGTGGGCCTGACCCCCACTACCTTGTCTCTGCCTCCCAGGCTCCATTAGCCCCGCTCCCCGCTCCTCTCTCCCTATCCCTCCACCTTGCCCCACCCTGGCCCCCTCCCATATTCATCCTCTTCCCCACCCATGCTCCCCAGCCCCAGCCCTTGTCCTTCTCCTGCATTCCAGGGCCTCCATTTCCCCCCCCTCCTCCCCTCCCATCTCTGTCTCCTACCCATTTATACCCCCCCACCACCTCATTCTCCTCTCTTTCCCCTCTGTCCCTGCCCTAGGCTCCACCCCACACCGGTCCCAGCTGCCCCAGGGCTGAAGGCATGGAGGGGGGCCTGGGGTGGGGTGCAGCTGTGGTAATTGGGAGTTGAGGAGTGGGGGGATACTGGCTGCTAGCCCAGAGCAATTTAGAAAATTGGAGGGAACACAGAGTCCTCTTCCTGTCCCCGCTGGCTGGACTCAGTCCTTGGGAGGCCTGGGGAACCAGGTGCCTGGGTCCAAGAAGGGAACTAGCTGGAATCTGGATACCTGGGTCCCTAAGTAAGTGGGGGCTGGGGCCCACATACCTGGGTCCCCAAAAGGGCAGGGGTTGGGGTTCCAGACGCCTGGATCCCTGGGGGGAAAAGGGCTGGGGCATGGACACCTGCTTCCCTGAGGGGAACCCTGAGCCAGAGAAGGCTGTCAATCCATGCTGGCTGTCAGTATCCCCATGGGTTGCCATGGCAGCAGGCTTGACAGCTGGGGGAGGGATAGAGAGAGGGGAGGCCCTGCCTTCTGCCCAGGGTGCCAGGGCCCCAAAGGAGCTCCTCCTCCTCTCTGGCAGTCATTAGCTGTTGGCTTGATTAATGCTCAGAATAGCACCCCCCAGCCTCCACCCCAAAATAACCCACAGCTGTGGCCGGGCCCCCGTGGGGTTAACATCACCCCCCCTTCCGAATCATTCCCTTCCCCTTTCCCCCTTGGTTTCTCTTCCTGCCATTCCCTCCCCATCCTGCTCTAGGCACACAGCTGAAGGTGGGGTGCATTTCCCCATGGTATCAGGTATCCCCTGTTCTCACCAACTCAGGAACCCATGAATCTGACTCTACAGTTCAATTCCATGTGATAAATAGGAGGGAATAAGGTGCCCCTTAGGAACCAGGCACCCAGCCCTACCCCACCCTCATCTCATTTTAGTTGAGCAGATGAAAACAGAGACCCTGTACCCTCTGAGAGCCAGGGATGTGTATCCCAGCCTTTGACACCTCAGGGACCCAGGCATCCACCTTGTGCCCACCCCCACTCCTTCCGAGGCCCAAGCTTCTGACCCAGCCCCCAATTTCCATCCAATTCCACAGACAGGGGGGTTCTTAGGGGCCTTGGTGCCCCAGTCCTTTGGGACTAGCTCTCCTCCCTGGCCTCCTTCACTCTAGGAGGTGACTGCCTGCATACCCCTCCCGGGCTATCCCATCAACCCCCATCCCATTTCCCCATGTAGAACCCAGACCACAGCTCTGCGGAGGGAGGAGGGGCACGAGGAGTGGGGAGTTGGTGGTGGACGGGGCAGCCACTCATTCATCCCTGCGTCCTCCCCTCCAACACTTTGATCCTCCACCGGGAGCCGTTCACCGCAGTTAGCGGCACTGCCTGGTGCCGCAGACAGAGTCCTGTCCTGCTGTTCTTCCCACCCCCCACCCCCATCAAAACACATATCTCCCACCTTTCCATCCCCCAGACCCCAGGAATGAGGAGAGTGAGGAAGGAGAGAGAGCATTTGAATACCCTCCAGGACAGGAGGCTTGTGTGGGCAGGGGGTGTCCAGGGCACAGGGCCAGGGGTCCGGACGACCTTCAGGGCCTTGTAAGCAGTATTAATAGCATAGTCACAGCCCTTGGGAACAGAGACATGGACTGAGGAGAGGGGATGGAGTGGGGGTGAATACTGGAAGAAGAGGGAGGGAGGAGGTGGGATAGGGAGAGAAAGAAGGACAGAGGGAGGGGGAAAGGGAGAAAAATGGGCATAGGAAAAAGAGAGAGACCCAGGAGGGGAGAAGGATGCAGGGAGAAGATACAGGGAGAAATGGGGACATGGAGAGAGGGATAGGGAAAGGAGAAATGGGGAGAGCAGGGACAAGAAGAGAGGATGGGAGGTGGGAAGGGAGAAGGGGTACAGAGAAATGAGAGGGGCCAAGGAGGGAGAAAGACAGGATGGGAAGAGAGGAAGAGAGAAAGATGGGGGACAGGGAGAGTCAGGATACACAGAGAGAGAGGGGGAACACGGAGGGAGAAGGGGAGAGGGTACAGGGCAGAACATATGCAAAGGGACAGAAGGACACGGAGGGAGAGTTAATGAAAGAGAGGAAACCGAGGGAGGAAGAGAAATGAGGACAGGGAACTCGGAAGGGGCCAAGAAAGTGGTGAGGGCAGAGAGGATGGGGAGCACGATGAGGAAGGGGAACAGGAGAAAGAACAGGAAAGAATGGGGCCTGGGGGAGTAGGCTGGGGCAGCGGTGTGTGTGTGTGTGTGTGTGTGTGTGTGTGTGTGTGTGTGTGTGAAAAGGAAGACCCTAGAATGTGAGGAAGACAAGAGGCCAGGGCAGCAGAGACTCTGAGGCTGCCCCTTGGCCCAGCCCAGGGTCTGGGGGTCCCACCCCACTGACAGCCCAGCTCCTTCTGGCCTTACCTTTTCATGACCCTGTTGTGTCGTGGGGGAGGGGAATGACGATGGCTGGGACAGGGGCCCAGACTCAGGCTCTAGAAGGACACAGCAGGTGAGGGGTTCAGTGCCATCGGTCCCCCAGGGCTTCAGGTGGGGGCCAGGCTCGGCAGGCCACACATGTTGCATTGAAAGTTGGGCCCACGATGCTGCCTTCGATGCCGCGGCAAGTGGCAGGCCCTCCGCCCCATGGGGATCCCGTCTCACCTGCCTGGGGTGCTCCTCCCTCCCCCGCTGGCTGTCGGAGGTTTTCCTCCTCCTCCTCGTCCTCCTCCTCTGGTCTATCTGGCTGCTGGCTGGAGCCTCTCCTTCTGTCCTCCCTGCCCTCCCCCTACCTTCCCTCCAGGGTCTCCTGGCTTTTTGTCTAGGGTCACCTCAGAGACAGCCCGCCTGGCTACCTGTCTCCCTTTCTCCCCTACAGGCAGACGCGGACACGCTCACACAGGCTCACTTCCCAGGGATTCCCCCCACAACACCCCCTCATTGGAAAGGAGTGGGAGACTCGCACACACTCACCATACACACACAGAGAATCGCGCATCTGCACAGATACACACAGCTGGACACGGACAGACACCCTCACACAAAGACAGACAGACAACCAGACACAGAGACAGAGAAAACCAGCTCATTCACACACAGCCGGACACAGGGACACAGAGACACAGGAACAGCCAGACATCGGGTCACCAGATTCAGACACCCAGACAAAACCACAACCGGACACAGGCACACAGACAGACAGACAGACAGACGGGGGAGGGGAGGGGAGGTTCCAGACAGAAGCCAGGAGATCTCAGGTGCAGCCAGATGACAGATGGGGGGGGGTGGAGAGGACAGACAACCAGTTCAAGGTAAAGGCAGACCGAATTCTCTCCACCCCGCCCCCTTACACACACACACGCAATACAATTACACACAGACACCCCAGACACGGACCACCATCACCCCACCTGATAATACCCGCGGCTTCCCCGGGAAAGACGGACCCACAGACACCCACCTGGCAGCCGCCGGAGAGAAGAGATGCTGAGGCCGCAGAGCAGCCCCCCCTTACCCACCCCTGCAGCAAAGGACGGGACTGACTGACACAGACAGACAGACCCACCCCACCCGCCTGCCTGCCACACACACCTAAGCTGGGGCGGGGGGCGGGAGGCTGTGTGAAGGAGCCCGAGCCCGAGCCCGAGCGGGAGGGGAGGGTGGGGAGGGAGGGGGGACGGGGGAGAGGGACACACACACACTCGCTAGAACACAGGCTCCTGGGGTGATTAACATTCAGTCCGCGTCTGCCCCTCTCGCGGAGACAGACGCGGCCCTCCCCGCAGGGCCCCTGGGGGGGGGACCCCCGGGGTTGCAGAGGGAGCGGACTCCCCAGATGAGGCCCTGGCCACAGACAACAGGGGAGAGGGGAGGAGAGCTAAAGAAAGGGATGCCCCCCTTCCAGCCCCCAAGTATACCCTCGGCTCTCCGGGACCCGGGGAGGGGCAATTTCCTCGGACCCTCGCCCCAGCGCTTGAGAAATGCAGGGGAGGGGGCACACACCGAGGGGCGGGAACCCTGCTTTTCCGCCTTCTGCTCTCCCTTGCACCTTGCGCTGTCCCTGGGGCTCGGCGCTGGCAGCCCGTCGGGGGGCCCAAGCACTGGGCCTTCTAGCCTCCCACCCAGGGCCCCGCGTGTCCAGGCCCCCTCGGGGACCCGGGCGTCCTCGGGAGCCTCGCTCCTCCTCTCCTCTGGGAGGATTGAGACGTCCAGTCCCGCAGCCCCCTCCGCTCCCCAGCCCGTTGGGGACCCCAGGGCCCGGGCTCCTCCCTCTCGGGGCTCGCTCCCTCCCGGACCTGCTCTCAGACCCCAGAACCGGGGACTTAATGGACGGCCAGGGGGGCCTTTTGGGGCCGCGGGGTGACCCCTTCTTGGAGCTCCCGAGCAAGTGGGAGCCGGAACCCCCGAGACAGCGGCGGGCCCCCCCCCCGGGCAGGGGCCGCGGGGAGAGGGCGCGGGCGGGGAGCTGGCCCCCGCCCCCAGCCCGGCTGGCTCCTCCCGCGGGGGGGGCGGTGCCTCCGTCCCTCCTCCCTCCTCTCCGCCCCCCTCCTGCGCTCCGCCGCTGCCGCCGCCGCCGCCGCCTCCTCCGCCAGCTCGGGGCCTCGCTCGGCCGCGCTCCCCCGGACCCGGACGTGTGCGCCCCCGGCCCCAGGCCCCGGCGGCCCGGCCCGCGGCCATGAACCTCTTCCGATTCCTGGGGGACCTCTCCCACCTCCTGGCCATCATCTTGCTGCTCCTCAAGATCTGGAAGTCCCGCTCCTGCGCCGGTGAGGGTTGAGGGGGGCTCGGGACCCCGGCCCAGGCCGGGGGGGCCGGGGCGCCTCGGGGAGCCCCGCGGGAGGCAGGCGGGGGGGGGGAGAGGAGGGAGCCGGAGCTGGTGACGTGGGGCTCTGGGGGAGGGGGCCGCCCGGCCCCTAACCGCCCCCCCCACCCGCCCTCCCCCAGCCCCCGCCCCGGCCGGGGCCCTCTTCTTGAACCCGGAGGGGGCGAAGGGGGGCGGGCTTGCGCCCGGAGTCCAGGCCCGGCCGGGCCTAGCTGGGCCAACGAAGCCCTGAGCTCTCGTAGCTCTGGGCCCGCCCGCGGCCGGGCCCGCCCCCTGGCTGTGGGTCCTGGGAAAGGGGCAGGGCGGGCCGGAAAGTTGGGCCCGCGGGGGAGCCCCGGCCGGGCCCTGCCACCCGGATCTCCGGGGCCCCGAAGGGAGTCTGTACTGAGCCCTCCGTGCTCCCCAGGAATCTCGGGGAAGAGTCAGGTCCTGTTCGCTGTGGTCTTCACTGCCCGCTACCTAGACCTGTTCACCAATTACATCTCCCTGTACAACACGTCCATGAAGGTGCGGAGGGTGGAGGGAGGGCCTCGGTGGGGTGGGGGGCAGGGGTTCTCAGGCCTGGGGAGCTGGGAGGGGCTCCGTAGGAGGGGGCCACTTGGGGGGACTGGGGTCTCCAGGCCTGGGGGACCACGAGGGGGACCACCGGGAGGCCTTTGGGAGCGGCTCCATAGGAGGGGGGGCCATTGGGGGGCTGGGGTCTCCAGGCCTGGGGGACCATGAGGGAGACTCCTGGGGGCCTTTGGGAGGGGCTCTGCAGGGGGCCATTGGGGGGTGGACCTTCTGGGGACCATGAGCTGGAGTCCCTAATGGGAGCTGGGTCCTGAGGGCGGTCTCCACCTCCCTGCAGGTGGTCTACATCGCCTGCTCCTTCACCACTGTCTGGATGATCTACAGCAAGTTTAAGGCCACCTATGATGGCAACCATGACACCTTCCGAGTGGAGTTCCTCGTGGTCCCCACAGCCATCTTGGCTTTTCTAGTCAACCATGACTTCACGCCACTGGAGGTGAGCCTGATTGGAGGGAGGTGAGGCAACCACAAGCCTGAGACACCAGCCCCCACCCCCCCCAACTGGGGAATACTTTTTGAGGGGAATTAGGTTGTTGGGGAGCATGGGTCGGGTCCAGGGCCTGAGCCTGAAATCCAGCCCTTCTTCTCCTACCGTTCCTCACCTGTGGGGCTAACTCACATAGTGCAGCACCCCAGGCGTAGGTGGTAATTTTACAGATGCCACTGAGACTGAAGGTCTTCCTGCTTTGGGGGGAGAAGACCCAACAGCATGCATCCCCCTCCATGGTCCTTGGCCTGGTCTCAGCAGCTGCAGGGGGTGGGGGGGCTCATTGGAGTGGAGGCCCCCAGAGCCGATCCTCTAACGATTGTGCCCTCCATCTCTTTTCCTCCCCTCTGCCTCACCTCTCTCTGCCTCTCTCCCCATCCCCGGCCTGGATCCCCACCTCCACTCTCTCCCCTGGGGGCCTTTCACCCCCTCTAGCCCAGCTTTCCTGCCTTTGCCCTCCCTTTGCCTTGTGTCCTGTGCCCCTTGGCTCTGTTCTCAGTTCATTTTCCCATCCTGTTCCCCGTTTTCCTTTTGGTTCTGCCCTCCTCATCTCCCTTCTTTCCTCCTCCTTTCCCGCCTGTGCCCCTTGCCTGCCAGCCCCCCTCTCCAGGTCTCTTCCTGTGTCCTTCCGTGCCCCTTGCCCAGCATCCCCATTCCAGCCACCCTCAAGACCTCAGCTCTGCCTTCCCCTGCCTCCCTGGCCCTCCCTTCTGACCTCGCTCATTCCACCGCACCATTCTCTCCGCCCCCCAGATCCTATGGACCTTCTCCATTTACCTGGAGTCTGTGGCCATCCTGCCGCAGCTGTTCATGGTGAGCAAGACAGGAGAAGCCGAGACCATCACCAGCCACTACCTGTTTGCCCTGGGCGTCTACAGGACGCTCTACCTGTTCAATTGGATCTGGCGCTACCAGTTTGAAGGCTTCTTTGACCTCATCGCCATCGTAGCTGGCCTGGTACAGACCGTGCTCTACTGCGACTTCTTCTACCCTCTACATCACCAAAGGTAGCTAGCTCAGGGGGTGGTGAGGGCCCCCCCCTTTCCCTGGTCTCCTCCCGAGCTCCTCCACTTCTGCCTGCTCTCTATCCTGTGGCCTTCCCCTTCTGGACATCCCCATTCTGTGTGTATATGTATGGCGATGGGCTGCTCTTTCCTCCCACTGTTGATTCCCACTCTTTCTCTCTCTCTCTCCCCCTCAGTCTTAAAGGGGAAGAAGCTGAGCCTGCCTGCATAGTGGTGACTCCCCAGGGCATCTCCGCAGCAGAAGCAGTGATGGCGAGAGGAGATGGGCCACAGCAGCACGGGTGGGGAAGGGCAGGGGGCCCCCAGGACCTGCCCAGCCCAAGGGGTAACTTTTTAAAAGAATCAATGGATCCCCACCCCCTCCTCTGCTCCCCAGGGCTGGGGGGAAGGGGAGGAGGGCATGAGGGCCCCCCCAGCCTTGGAGAGCAAGAGCTCAGGATCTGCTCTTTCTAATGTTTTGCCTTTTAGAGAAACAAAGACAAAATCTTTTCTGAGTTGGTTGGGATTTAGATAAGTCCCTGTTTTTCCTTCCATCATCTTGTCAGCCTCCGGACACCCGTGTTTTTACAAACTGTCTGGGGGGTGGATGGGAAGTCCCCCAGCTGAGCCCCCCCACTTTCCTGCTGTCTGTTTCCTCCTTTCTCCAGACTTTGCCAAACACTCGGCCTCTTCCTTGGCCAACAGGACCCCTCCTCCAGCTTTTTTTCTGGAGAATCGGAGGGGCTGGTGGGGTGACTCCTCTCCATCTTTTATATCTTTTTTGTCAGTTTTTTTGTCCAGGGGCATGGGGAGGGAGGGCAGGGGCCATGCCCCATTTTTGTACAGAGTTGATGGTTAACTCCTTGTTCACTTGAAATAAAGACAAAGATGAACTTCTCACTGCCTGCTTGTCTGTGTGTGCATCTCCTTTCCTGGTGTGTCTTCTGCTTCAAGTCCCCAGTGTGAGGGATCGTGACTTAGCCAATAATGACTATCCCCTGCAGAGCAGTAGCAGCTCTGGACATTGGGCCTGGAGGCCTGGGAAAGAGCCCCCCCCCCCGCTTTAATGGGGGACCTTTTCTGTCTTTGCAGCTGAGCACAGGGTGGGCTAGTGTGTATGAGAACTTGGCTGGGCCTTCCAGCCCGGGCTGGCATCCCCCTGGATGGAGTGAGGCCGCCTCAGGAGGACCTGTGCAAAGTCTGGCTTCTGAAGGCCTTAGTTACTGAGTCCCATTCCTGTGGACATTAATGTCCTTGGTGCCCTTAAGACAACTCTGTGAATGAAGTCATGCCAGAATGATTCTCCCCTTTTAAAGAGGAGGAGACAGGCTAGAAGAGCTTAGTAACATTCCCGTGGCCAAACAGCGAGTTCACTAACTTTTCCTTAGAAGAAGTTAGTGCATTTTTCTGGAGTCATGGAGGTCTATGTGGCTGCCCCAGAGCCAAGTCAAGGGGACTAGGAGATACCCCACTTTGTCATCCCAAACAACACCCTCCTCCCTTCCCCTTTCCCTGAAACAAGAAAGGGCCGATTTTGATCGACTGATGGATGAATGAGATATGGCAGGCTCAGGTTTTCCCAAACACCTCCGTGGGAGGAAGAGAAAGTTTCTTTAATAACTGAGGGAGATCAGGACAGCCACCTCAGTTGTCATTCATCATGGCAAGGCGAGCCGCCTTGGGAGTGGTTGGATATGGGGGCGGGATGGAGCTGGGGTAGCCCAGGCTGCTGGGTCCCATGTTGGTGGTGGTGCCAGAAGAGAGGGTCGTCAGGGCCACGCCACCCTCATCCAGGGAGCGCTTGTAGGGGACGGGTGAGTCACTACGGAGGTCCTGGAGTGCCAGGTAGGCCAGGGCCATCTGTGGGGAGGTCAAGGGATTGAGGACTGGGAGAATTGTTATGGATCATATCGTCCAATCCCTTAACAAATGGGGAAACCGCTCTCAGATGGGAAGGGACTGACTCAAGGTCACACAGCTAGTGAAAGGCAGAGCCAAGATTCAAACATGGCCTCTTTGTACTACAATTCTTCCAGTTCAGGCCTGGGGCAGGGCTTTGGACTTGATTCCATGATGGGAAAGGGGATAGGAAGAGAGTCCTACCAGCTTGTGATGGGCCTGAAAATAGGGAAACTTGGGGTCTTTTCCAGAGCCCAGCAGAGGGCCCTGCCCCAGCAGACACTTAGTCACCTCCTTGAAGGCAGGGTCTCCTCCCTGAGCAGCCCAGGCCTGGTCTGCCTCCCTCTGCCCCCCCCATCTTACCCAGACAGGGATGGAGAAGAAGGAGAAGGCAATGGCTGCCTTGGCGCTGCTGTTGCCCAGAAGGTAGTGGTGAGGCGGTGAGCGCTGCCACTGGTTGGCCAGGAAACAAAAGCCCACAAACCAGACTCCAACCCAGATGACTGCAGCAGAGGAGAAAGGTGCTGGGGTCAAGAGCCTTCCCAAAGGACTGGCCATCCTCCCAAGGGCCAGGGAGTCCACCGACGAGCAAAGGGACATGGGGAGACCAGCCGTCAGTCATCATCACAATTAGTGTTTTGGACTGACCCTGATTTCATCAATCAGTGGCTGCTGTGCGGTCCGTGGCACCAGGTAGAGTTAAGTGGCTCCGTCTGGGGCATGCTACCAGGAGGGCTGGGGAGACACTGCCCCAGGTCATCTGGACTGCAAAGCCAGCTCTGTTCATTGGGTATGCTTCCCCTCTCTTCCGAGGCCCTACCCGCCACCCCAGCCTTCTGCTTGTGTGCTTCCATACAGTTGCCAAGGCTGCCCATTCCCCTCAAGCTAATCTTTACAACAGCCAGGCCCCTGGGGGACACCAGGGTCCTGATACTGGGGTAGAATGACTTGCATGGTCTCAGGCCCAGAACAAGGATCAGAGCCATGACCTCCTGCCAGATCAGAGGCGAGTCCCTCCATTTCTGAAAGGAGGCCAGAGACCCTAAGGGTCATCTCTAAGAAGCCCAGGCTGACAGCTGAGGAGCCCTGAGGGTGAGGCTAGGAGCCCCTACCAGAGAGTGAGAAATCCAGCAGCAAGACTGTGGTCTTCAGGCGGGTGCTGGTGATGCGGGCTGCCAGGCTGTCCAGGGTGAGGAAGAGCAGGCAGCCCAGGAATGCCAGGAGGCCAGTGACCACTGCGAAGCTGCAGGCCACTCTGTTGTCATTGAGGACACAGTGCAGCTGCGAAGAGCTGGTCAGGTTCTGGTAGCCGTCAGTAAGCAGCGTGGCAAAAACAATGAGCGAGAAGACCTGGACGGGGCAACAGCTGAGGGTGAAGGGCTCCCCAGGAGGGCCTTCCCCCTTCTCCTGATCCTTTGTGGTCATGGGCTTGAGGAGAGAAACCCTCCCAGGGGTCCTTCCCCACCTGGGGTCCTCAAACCCGCCCAGATCCTCCTGCTTGAGCACCCAGCCTCTGCTCCTGCCTCCCCTTCTCCCTGGGAGGCTGGGACCCAGGGGCAGGGGCAGAAGGCAGAGAGACATGGCATACCCCAAGGCAAGCCTGGGATTCTGGGGACCCTGCATGCTGGGCCAGGGAAGAGCAGGGCCATCCAAACCTTTCCTTGTGACTTCACTCTTTCTGCCAGCTCAGTTATCAGCCCCCGCGTCTTCCATATTCCATAACCTTGGGCTCCTCCAGCCTCACTCATATCAAATGCTTACAAATCCTGCTGATTCCCTATCTGCCAGTCTCCCCATCTGGCCCCACCCAGAGGACCCTCCTTAGCAGCCCCAGCCCGCTGCAAGAGCTCGTCTCCACTCTCTGCTTCTGGCAGCCCATCCCTGTCCTGTCTTTTCTCGAGCTCCCAAGCTTGCTGCCTGGCTTTGCTTGTGCCGCGCCCACAGGAGCCTCTGAGGAGCCCAGGAGGCAGGGGACCAGGTCCTGCTAACATGGCCAGCATCAAGCATGGAGCCCTGCAGGAGCCTGCCCAATGTGTTTGATGAATTAATAAACAGGTGGCCCCTCCATTTCCTCAGTAAGGAGAGTAGCCCCCACAATAGTGCTCACAGGACATCCCGGCTGCCTATGGTCCAGGGTCAGCCTTCTCTTCACTCTCAGATCCAGGGCTCCCCAATGAGGGCTCCCCTCTAAGTTTTGCTCATTCTAGCTTCCATCTCTCCTGGCCTTGGAGTCTCAGAGGTGGAAAGGACCTCATCCTCCCTATCAGATCAGTCCCTCTCAGCAAAATCCCTTTGCTGGATTTTCATGCTGATCCCAGATGCTAACGTCTTGCCATGACTGTCTGCCAGGCTCTGTCCTGGGCCCTCTCCCTTGGTGATCCCATCAATTCCCATCTCAGACCTAGGAATGCAGCCCCAACCTCTCTACTGACCGTCTTCTGGATATCTCTAAACACCACGGCTGCAGGCATCTCAGACTTCTTATGGGCAAAGCAGCACTCTTCCTTCCCCCCAGACCCTCCCGTCTTCTCTTTGGGAAGCCTCTTGAGGCACCACCAGGCTCCCAACCTTGGTCTCATCCTTCCTCGCACTCATGCCCCCACATCAATTCTGCTGCCAAGTCTTTTTCTACCATTGTGGCCTCTCCAGAACATGCCCCCCTTCTCTCCTCTGACACTGCCCTCACCTCCTCATGCCTGGACTATGGCAAAAGCTGCTGCTGGCGGGGTGGGGAGGTCTGTCGGCCTCTAGCTTTTCCCCACTCCAGCCTGCCAAAGTGGCCTTCCTAAAGACAGGTCTGAGCACGTCACCCCCTACTCAATAACCTCTGGGATCCAGGAGAACATCCTTAGAATTCCAAGCCCTTCGTAAGCTGGGGGCCAGCTCCTGGCCCCTTCCTACCTTTCCAGTCTTCTCACACTTTACTCCTCCCCATGTACTTTGGGGTTCAACAACACTGGCCTCCTGGCTGTTTCCATCTCCCACCTGGGTACACTTTCACTGCTCTCTCCTATGCCTGGAATGCTCTTCCTCCTCACTTCTGGCTCTGGGCTTCCCTGAGGCAGCTGGCTGGGGAATTTGCTGGGCCTCAGACACTTTTTAGCTGTGTGACCCTAAGCAAGTTACTTAACCTCATCTGCCTCAGTTTCCTCAATTGTAAAATTAGGATCCAACAGCACCTAAGGTTGTTGTAAGGACCAAATAAGATATCTGTAAGGTACTTAGCACACAGATGGCACTTAATAAATGCTCATTCCCCTTCCTGGCTTCCTCAAGACTCAACTCAAATCTCATCTGCTACTAGGGATTTTCCCAGTCTTTCCTCCGGGCTACACCCCCTCCCCCCATGCTAGCACTTCCCCCCCATTGTAGAGCATGAGCTTCTTGGGCAGGGACTGTATTTCAGTCAGACAACTAGCACTTGTTAAGCACCTACTATGTGCCAGAAATTGTGCTAAGCACTGGGGACACAGAGAAAGACCAGCACCAGTCACAGTTCAACCCAACCTGACGGCCGACAGGTAACAAGTTAGACGGAGGGATAGATGAAGGAGGACCAGCAAAGGCCTCCTGCAGAAGGGAGGACACTCTTGAGGCCTGAAGGAAGCCCACATGATCACGAGGCAGAGATGAGGAGGGAGAGGCCCAGGCCTGCCGCACACTCTCAAGGTGGGGAAAGGCGGGGGCAAGACGGCTAGATGGGAGAGTCACCTGCAGAGACAGGTGTATCATTGAGACCATGGGAGCTGATGAGATTCCTGAATGAGACAGCCGAACAGAGGGACCAGGGAAGAGGACTCAGGATAGAACCTTGGAAGACTTTCAGATGAGAAGACTGGATGTGGATATTGGGGCTTGGCCTTGTCAGGAGAAAGGCCACCTCATCATGGGAGACAGGGGTGAAGGAAGACATAATGACCAAGGGCATCTGAGGGATAGGAGAGGAGGAAGAGGGGAGAAGACGGAGCTCTCTGCAAACCAGCTCTCTGGTTTGTTTTTTTTAAGTGAAATATAAAGCAAGGTTCTTAGCTGAAAAGTGGGGGAAGGGGGGACTCAGGGAGGCTTGAGGAGGGACAACAAGTTTGGGAGGTACAAAGGATTGCCTTGCTGCAGCGAGGGCCCAGCTGAGAACATATAACATAAATCTGTAGGGGACCCAGTCAACCCAGTCCCGTGATTTTCTCCAGCTTCCTTCAGCAGCACATGAGAGGCAGCAGATGGGAGGGATAATACAAAGCAGGGTTTGGAAGGGCAAGATCTTCCCTAGGACAAACAGAGTCCTTTCTCAGTAGAAGAGGATGGTGTAGGGCACCTTCCTTTGCATTCCCATTGCTTGGCAGTAACTAGTGCCTGGGAAGCGCCTCCTGACTGACCCGACACCTTCTAGTCGCACACACCCTGAACAAGAGTCCTCCCTGTAACACTGCTGATAACGGGTCCTCCAACCTCTGCCTGGAGATCCCAAGTGGCCAAGAATGGATTCCCTCTGGGGACTGCCCATCACACCCTAGAATTATCCCTGCTGGGTGGTTTTTCCTAACACAGAGGAGAAATCTATTTTGTTGACATTTCCAGGTGAACATAGGCTCCTTGAGGGCAGGAACTGGTTTGATTTTTGTCTTCGTATCTTCAGGGCCTTCTCGTTGGCAGGGGATAGGTCAACTCTTGTGGAAGTTAATTGGGTTACTTTGTCCCATTGCTCTGCCCTGCTGGCCAAACAGAAGCACTTTTCAAGCTTCTGCTGTGGCAGGCCCAGAGTCTGACACCAGACATATAAATCCAAATGCAGTCGCTGCCCTCGAAGAGCTTACATTTCTGTTAAGGGGGATGCTGCAAATTTGTACACAAGAAAGTCCTGGATAGAGACAAAAGCAATACACGGGGACTTGTGGAGGGGAATGCTAACCCCAGGGAGGAGTCAGGAAAGAGCTCGGAGGAGGGCAAGAGGCTGGAAGGAGCAAGTTCAGCTGCACCAGGGACGTGGGAGAGGAAGCTGGACAGGCAGTGTTCTAGGCTCTCAGGAAGGCCAAGGCTGACTGGGCAGATGCCTAGAAGGTAACCCCGCAGGGAGCTGAACGCCAGAAGCATGAAGCTAGTGGAAGACCCTGCCCGCTCTGAATTGTTCCAAGGTTCAGTCGTTCCAAATCCTGGCGGCACCTCTAGGGAGTCTTCCAGAAACGGCCTCTCTCTGTCTGCCCAGAACTCTCCCTTCAGCCTCTACTTGAAAGCCCAGAGTTCTCCTTTCTGGTGTCTATGGCTTCTTCCCCTTCTCGTCAGCTCCCCAAACTAATCCTGAGTGTGATGCCCAGGGTGGTCCCCTAAGAACATGGCAGCGAGCAGAAAAGTGAGAAGAACCCTGGGCCTGGAAGGAGGAGATTTCAGGGGCAATCCTGGGACCAATACTTATTTGCTATGTGAGACTACCCAAGTCATGTCATCTCTCTGAGCCTCAGTTTCCTTATCTATAAAATGACGAAGATGTTGTACCAGCTATACAACCAGACAATTGGGAGGAATATTCCAGTCCTTTAGAGACTCGAGAGATACCCTGAGGGCAGGAATTGTTGTGCTTTTCTTTTCCTTCTTTGCAGCCCAGTGACTCCCACACCGGACCTGATGAACCGCATGTGGAGGGAAGCCCGGAGCTTCCAGGTGGCTCTCCTCACTAAGCCTGTGGAGCCCGCCACAGTCTGGCTGGACACCCCTCGCTCTCCCTAGCCACCCTCACAAACCACAGTGCCCAGCCCTGACAGCCCAACTCCCAGGTGGCTTGTGGTCTGGCCGAGGCAGGCTGCTGCTCAGGTTCAGTGTCTCTCTGAAGACAGTACAGTCACACTGGATCTCTGGCCACCCTTTACGGTGGTTACTCCTACTGAGCTTGCAGCCCCTTGTTCAGATTAATGGCTGTCGAACAATCAATCAATCAATCAACGAACAATTATTAAACAGCTGCTACATGCCAGGCACTATGCTATGCCCTGGGGATACAGACACAAAAATGAAACTGGCCTTCCCCTCAGGGAGCTTCAGTTTTATCTCTGCTGTCAGTCTAACCACATGTGACCCATATTAGGTTTGGGAAGTGATTTTAAAGAACTAGAAAAAACCATAGCAAAATTCATTTGGAAGAACAAAAGGTCAAGAATATCAAGGGAATTAATGGAGAAAAAAATACAAAGGAAGGTAGCCTAGCTGTGCCAGATCTAAAACTGTATTATAAAGCAGCAGTCAGCAAAACCATTTGGTACTGGCTAAGAAATACAGAGGCGGATCAGTGGAACAGATTAGGTTCACAAGACACAGTACTGATAAACCCAAAGGCTATTTGACAAAAACTACTGGGAAAACTGGAAAAGAGTATGGAAGAACCTAGGTATAGACCAACATCTCACACTGTATACCAAGATAAAGTCAGAATGGGTACATGATTCAGACATAAACGGTGATACCATAAGCAAATTAGGAGAGCAAGGAATAGTTTACCTGTCAGGTCTACGGAGAAGGGAGGAATTTATGACCAAACAAGAGATAGAGAACATTATGAAATGCAAAATGGATAGTTTTGATTACATTAAATTGAAAAGTTTTTGCAAAACAAAGCCAATGCAACCAAGATTAGAAGGGAAGCAGAAAACTGGGAAAGAATTTTTACAGCCACTGTCTCCGATAAAGGTCTCATTTCTAAAGTATATGGAGAATTGAGTCAAATACATAAGAATACAAATCATTCCCCAATTGATAGATGGTCAAAGGATATAAGCAGGCAGTTTTCAGATGAAAAAATTAAAACCATCTACAATCACATGAAAAAAATGCTCTAAATCACTATTGATTAGAGATTCGGGAAGTGGTTTTCTTGAATCATTTATATTTCTATTTAGACTGGCCTAAGGGCACAAGGAGGCCAAATGCTGAAGCACTGGGTCTGGCTCCTTCCTAGACTTCCCTGTGCCCTTGCTGAAGGCACAGGCAGGCTGGCCCTGCTGGGGGGAGAGGTGAAGAGGCGACTTCCCACTGGCAAAAGCCCTTCTTGACTCCTCCCTTAACTGGGCTTCTCAACCTGAGAACAAGGCCAGATGATCATAAACCCGGTGTGCTCCAGGAGGGCAGGTCAGGCAGCTGAGGGCTGTACCCACACAATCCCAGGACTTTGAACCTGCCTTTATCAGTGGACCTCTATGTCTGGACTGATCCCCAGTGGTTAAATAGACTCACTTCCCTCCTCCTCTCCCTCTCTGTGATGCCGAACCTCCCCTCTGCCCCCAGCCGTCCCTTCTCCCATTCTCACCACTTCCTCCCCTCCCAGGTTCTGTCCTGCTGGGGACCTCCTTGCACCTCCCATTGAACAGGATCCTTCTGTTTCGCCTGCTCTATACTCGAACTAGCTTGCATCTTAAGGCTCTTCCTTTCCTGATCCTTCCATCTCCTGGCTCCCTCCTGACAATCCGGGCCCAGGCCGCCCTCCTGGCGCTGGCTGCACTTGCACTGCTCTTCTCTGGACATTCTTGGCCACCATTTGACAGCCGTCTCACCTCCTCTGAGGTTCATTCAGTCCACATTGGTCACCCAGGCCAGATTCTTTAAGCTATTACCTCCTGAGCCCAGGACTCTCACCCTCCTTTGTCACTGAGGTCAGCTTTGGCCCAGGGTCTTCCCCTCAGCCTCAGCTCCTTACTTCATCCCAGGAGACTTCAACGGGCACTGACACTCACTCCCTTTAGCGCTTTTCCCACCTCTTCAGTCTTTTCAGTAACCGTAACCTGCTCCTCAGCTCTCCCTATTCTGCACGCAGTGGCCTCACGCCCTTGCAATGACCGGATGCTGGTTATGCTGGGGGCCCTCCGCCCCCACAAGCTTTCCGTCTCTCCTTGGGCTCTCCTCCTCCTAAAGGGACTTTGCCCTCCTTCTGTCCCTCAGTGTTGTCCCAGGCCATGGTCCTTCCCAGGGCCTACATGCCGTTGCCAATTATTCTTCTAAGATCTCTTCCTAGCGAAACGGGCTGATTCTACACTACTGTCTGTTGTTGACTCCCCAACCGGCTTGTCTTACGGGGATCCCACCTCGCCAACTCTCAGCCTGCCTCGCTCTGGCCATCTGCCTCCTTTCACCTACTCACCTGCTGCTAAACGGAACTGGAGGGGATCCCGAGCCTGTGGTGATTGGGTCCACCGTACATTTATGCAAGCTTATCTTCCCGGGGCCAATGCTGCTTCCTACCCTGAATGATTCACTACCCCACTCAGCACAGCACCTTTTCTCTCCTCAAGCCTTCCTCACACTTCACTGGAGAAACTGAGGCCATTCCTGAGAGCTCCCTCTCCTCGCCTCCTCCTCATCACATATTCCTCTTACATCACCCCCCCATTATCTCCTCCTCGATCCCTTCTCTTTGCCAGGGCCAGCTCCCATAGATTTACTCTTGGGTTCTTCCCCTCCCACCTTCTTCGCCCCCTTCATCGTCCCCACACTCTCAATTATCTTCAATCTCTCTCTGTCTACTGGCTCCTTCCCTGCTGTCTACAAAGGTGCCCAAGTTTCGCCTGGCCTTAAATACCTCACTAGATCCTACCGTGCCTGCCAGCTATTGTCCTATATCTCTCTTCCCCGTATTAGCTAAACTCCCACAAAAAGCTCCCTTTTGCTGGCTTCTAAACTTTCTGCAGTCTGGTTTCTGACCTCATCATTCAACTCCAAACTCCAAAGTCAGCAATGACTTCTCAAAAGCCAAATCCAACGGCTTCTTCTTGACCCTTGGCCTTTTGACCCCTCTGCAGTTTCTGACACTATTGACCCCTTTGTCTTCCTGGATGCTCTCTCTTCTTGGGGTTCTCCTCCTACCCTCCTGACTGCTCCTTCTCAGTCCTCCTGTGGGTCACACCCATTAACTCTGGGTATCTCTCAAGGCCCTGCCCCTAGCCTTTCACACTTTTCTCTTTATACTCTCTTACTTGGTGATCTCATTGCCTCCCACGGGTTTAATTATTATCATCTCTATGCAGATGATTCCCACGTCCATTTATCTAGTGCTAGTCTCTTTCTCTAGAGCTCCTGTCCCACATCACCAACTGCCTGTTAGAGATTTCAAACTGGATAGTCTGTGGGCATCTGAAACTCAACATGTCCAGAACAGAGCTTCTGTCTTTGGCCCCAAACCTGCCCCTATTCTGAAATTCCCTGATGGTCATCCAGGTTCAAAATGTCATTGTCATCCTCTACTCTCCCTGTCTCTTGCTCACCTACACAACCAATCCTTAGCCAAATGGCGTCACTTCTCTCTCTTCAATGCGTCTTGCCTATGTCCCCTTCTCTCCGCCCGACATAACCACCACCCTAATTCAGGTCCTGACCATGCCTCACTTGAATTACTGCAACAGCCTTCTTACTGGTCTTTCTCTATCCCCATCCTTCCTCGCCAATCCTTGGTTGTCAGATTGTTTACAAAAGTGTGGTTATGACCAAAGCACCCCCCCCCTTTCCCCTTAATAAACTCCACTGGTTCCAGATCAAATATAATGTCCTTTGGCATCTAAATCTCTTCCCAACCTGGCCCCTTCCCACCATTCCCGTCTTCTTCTTTTCTAATCCAGGCCATACTGGCTTCCTTCCTCTCCTTTGCATGCAGTAGCCCATCTCCTGTCCCTCTGCCTAGACTGCTCTCTTCTCGATCTTGGAATCCCAGGCTTCTTTTAAGACTCAAGTGCGACCTTCTCTGGGAGGACTTTGCTGGTCCCCTCAGCTGCTAGGGCTGCCCGTCTAAGGAGGCCTTCCTTCCATCTGCCCTGTATTTACAGTGTAAGTTCTGATTTATGTCATCTTGTCTGTCATTAGAATGTAACTTCCTTTAGGGCAGGGATTATTTCTGGTTTTGCTTTTTCTTTGTATTCCCAATGCTTAGTATGGTGCCTGACACATAAATGCTTGTAGATAGGTTGATTAATCATCCCTATTAAATGTCATGTTATTGGATTTGGCTTTGTGTTGGAGCCCGTAGAGATCTTTGGGGATTCTGAGTGTCGTCCAACACATCAGCTGTCCCTTCTTTCTTTATGTACCCTACAAATTTGGTGATCGAGCTCTCTATGGCATTACTGGTCATTTAGTAGACATGTAAAATGCCCCAGAGTCAAGCACAGATCTCTGTGCCACTCGAGCAGACACCTCTTTTCAAGTTGCCCTCAAACTCTTAATGACTGCTATTTGGGCCCAGTTCTAAATCCTCAGAAAGTAGTCATACAGCCTTTGCATGTAGCCATTCAATGCACTATCATCGAGTCCACATCTTTCCATCTTATCCATAATAGAATATGTGAAGCTTTTGATGAATGCTTGGCTCAGATCTGGGTAAACTAAATTGACCAAATTCCTCAGATCTGCCTACCAGGTTAGTAACCCCAGCAGAAAAGGAAATACAGTGAGCCTGGCATTAACTGCTCTTGATGAAGACACACAGGCTCTCGGTAATCCTTTTCTACATAGGAATAAAAACGCACATTTATAAAGCACTTTATGGTTGACAAAGCCTGGTAAGGCAGGCAGTACAACCAGCAACTGGCGTGTATTAAGCACCTATTCTGTGCCGGGCTCTGTGCTGAGTGCTGGGGAAAGGGAGGAAAAAAAAGGGCCAAAAAACAGTCTTATCTTGGACAGATGAAGAAAGAAAGGGTTTAAGTGACTTGCCCACAGTGGAAGTTGGTAAGTCCCTAAATTTGAGGGAGGAGTTGTGCTCTGAAGGCAAAACCTTCAACAGTCCAGTTCCAAGACATCTAACCTCTGTTGCAAACCTGCACATGCCACAGAAATGTGAGTTCCACTTTCATCATTATTGCTGAAGAAACCTGAAGCATCTCCAACCAGGCAAGAGTAATGTTAGGCTAGGGATGGGAATGGGGACCTCACCCCAGCAAAGATCCGGGATACAGTCTTTGGCTTCTTCACAAACTGGACCACTTCACTATCGGCCAGGTCATGGAGGCTGTCGGGCACATACATGTTGGCCCTTTTCTCTTTGGGGGCAGAAGGCACTGGTCTTCCCTTCACTCAGACTCAGATGACCTAACCTGGGGGCATGGCAGAAAGAGAAAGGAAGTAAAGGTCAGAATGGGATGAGTAGGGGCTTTGAAGTTGAAGTAGGAAAGGGGATTGGGAGAAGGGAAGGGGCGGCATGGCCCACTGAAGCATTGCACTAGTTCAAAGTGGAGGCCAGTACCCCCAGAATTGGAAGATATTTCTTTAGGATGGGGAGTACCCACCACAGAACTGAGGGTATCTCTTCAGAATGGGGTCTTCCCCCACAGAAATGAGGGATACCTCTTCTTAATGAATCTCCCCAAAATGGTAGACAGTTTTTCAGAATAAAGGACTTTTCCTTCCTTCAGAATGGTGGTCTACCCTTCCAAAGTGGGGATTTAGTTCAGAAGGGGTGTCTTCACTTCAAGATCGGGGGACTCTGCCTCAGAAATGTGGGATGCCGTATCACTTAGGGAAGGGCATCACACTCAGATTTGAGGGCTCTCTCTCAAAAACGATTCTCAATTCTTTTCAAAGCAAGAGTTTTCTCTTCAGAACTGATCGCTCTCTCTTCAGTATAGGGGTCTCGGCTCCAAACTGGGGAGAATCTGCTCAAGGAAGAGGACTCTCCTTCATACTGACAGATCTATCCTCAGAATTGGGGGAATCTCCTCAGGAAAAGAGGGGTCTCCTTCGGAAGAGCATGGGAATCTCCTGAGGATATGAGGTTTCCCTTTCAGAATTATGGGTTATCTACCCAGAATTTGGGGGGCTTTCATCAGGAAATGGGAGGCCTCCCTGTCATCGTTAGATGGAATTTCCTCAGAAAATGTGGGTCTCCACCTCAGAACTCGGGGTATCTCTTCTGAGAATTGTAGTCTTCCCTCGGAATTGGAGGGATCGCTCAGAATCAGGGGAGCAACTCTCTTTAGGAAAGGGGGGGTCTCCCCCTCAGATTTTGGGGAGTCTGCTCTGAAAATGGGAGAGGGTATAGTCTCAGAATGGGGGGGTATTTCCTCAAGAACTGGGGTCCTCCCCTCAGAAGTGGGGGGAATCTGCTCAGAAAATGGGGAGGTTCTCCCCCTCACCTTCCCTCTCGCCCCTCCCGCCCAACCTCCCGGCCCCAGCAGCTTTCTCCCCAGACCCGTCTTTTTCCCGCCTTTTCCTCGCCTTTTCCTCTCCGCGCGTCGAAAGCCTATTGGCTGACAGGAGGCCCCGCCCCCTAGGCACACTCCCCCTCATTGAGGGATGGGGGCGGGGCCTCGGAAGCCGTTGGCCTGAGGCACGCACGAGCCCTGCCGCGCGCCTCTGAATCATCAAGGGCTGGGCGCGCATGCGTTCAGCAGACGAACCTTAGCTACTCTTCTCTCCCGCCCCAGGAAAGTACCCTGAGGGAATAGTCTGAGCTCACTCCCCAGAATACCCTCACTCATCAAACCCCGCCCTCCTTCTCCATGTAGGCGCATGCGTGGCCCAGGAAGCCACCTAAGGAGGCGAAACTGCGCCCTCACCCCCACGCATGCGCTGTCCCTCGAATAAAGTGGCACCTGGAGGCCCATGCTGCTGGCCCTGCGCATGTGCGCCAGGCTCAATGACAACCAAACCTTTCTAAGGTGAGGGGGAGGGCAAGGCTTTCTGGGGCGGGGGTGCATTCTCAATGCAGGGCTTTGGGGTGACCACGGGGTTTCCTAAGGTGCATTCAAATCCATCCCGGAAATAGCTTTCCCTGCTCCGTCCTGCCCAGGGAGGTGTGCTGTGGAAGAAACACCTCATGACCTCTGACTCCTGACCTCTGACCTCATGCCAACTGGGATGCAGTAGAGAAGGCCCTGAGGCAGGCTTGGGCTGGGCCTGGGAACCCAGTAGTCTGCCAGGAGCTGGGCTGTCCCTTGCAGGCAGATAGGGAGGAGGGCAAGGCTTTGGGAAAGGCACCCGTGACCCGTGACCTGTGACCCCCCACACACTCCCCCTACTTTTGCCGTGTAGTGCCTGCTTCTGATCCTTATCTCCCCCTTGTTCCCCCTCTCTTCAGGGTACTGGGGCTCTGCATGCTGCGGGTAGCTCGAGCAGCCTGTGGGGCCGGGTGGGGGTGCTGCCCCCGGCCCCCGCTGAGGCCCTGGGCCCCCGAGGCTGCCTCCCGGCCCCACTCCTCCCTGATCACCAAGATGGGGGAGTATCGGAAGATGTGGAACCCCACGGAGCCCCGGAACTGGGCCCAGCAATATCAGGAACGTTTCATCCCCTTTTCCAGGGACCAGCTGCTGCAGCTCCTCCTGCAGGTCATCTGGGGAACTACGAGTCCCAGCAGCCCCTGGGGCTGGAGTGGCTACCCCTGAGGATCCTGGGACTTGTAGTTTCCCGCTTGCACCGAGGAAATTCTCTAGAACCACAAATCCCAGCATCGCCTGGGGCAGCCAAGCTTCTCCACCCCATCCTCACACCCCACCCCAGCTGGGGAGGATGCCCCTGGGGCAGCAGAGCATCCTTACCTCACCCCCACCCCAGCTGGTGGGAATGCCCACGGGCTGCTGCCGATAGGGAGGGTCTCCTAGCTGAGACAGTAATGTCCAGTTTTCCCTTCCTAGGAGTTTCACTCTAGTTCTTCTGCCAAGGCTGAGCTCCAGGAGTTTGTATCCCACACTGACTTCTGCATTCTCTCTCAGTATAACCGCACCCTGACCCAGCTGCAGGTGAGGAGCCGAGTGTTTTATTCAGACGTGGTAGCATTTGCCTTCTGCGCCTCCGACCACCCTGGCCCGGTCAGCGCAAGCCTGGCCCTGACGTTGGACAGACAGTGTTGGGCTTCGGAGACTGCCAGAAGCAGCACAGGTGGCTGGAGTGTCAGGGCTGAGAGGCATAGTTCTACGAGGTCGGCCTTGACTCGCTGAGCTACGGCTGTCAGCGGGTCCTGGCGGAGCGGGCAGCATTGCCTTGCCGGCCCCCTCCCCTCTTGCAGTCCTGCACGTGAGACCCTGACCTCAGTCTCTGCCCCTCCCCTCTAGGCACTATATGACCCCATCAACCCAGACCGAGAGACCCTGGAGCAGCCCTCCCTCACAGAACCTCAGCGCCTAGCTAACGAGCAGGAGGTCCTCAGGGCCCTGGCGCCGCTGCTGGACCAAGCTAACTTCTCCCCGCTGTCCGAGGACACCCTGGCCTATGCCCTCGTCGTCCACCACCCGCAAGATGAGGTTCAGGTAGCGCCTCACCCGACTGCCCGCATCTGGGTCCTAGAAACCCTTTGGGGGATGTGGAAGCTGGTGCAGTCCGTCAGCATGCAATTATTAAGTCCTTTCTGTATTCCCGCCCTGTGGCTGCATAGTCCAAAAGCAGGAAATGGCCCCTGCTCTCAAGCTGCTCATGCTCCATTTGCGGGCCACAACACGTACCCGGAAAAGGAAATTTGAAATATCTACCAAGTAGATGTCATGTCAGCTGGAACTAGCATCTGGCGGTATCCTGTAGGAGGTGGTGCCTGAGCTGCGCCTTGAGGACCAAGAGGGAGGGTGCTGTGGGTGTGGGTGGGAGGGCCAGCCTGGGCAAAGGCATGGAAGCCTCCTCGGCTGGCACAGCCAGGCCAGACCACAAAGGCTGTGATGTGGGGTGATAGTCGCTGAAGCTTGTGGAGCACGGCAGTGATGAGGAAGACCAGCTTGGCCACCATACAGAGCGTGTTTCAGGAAGGGCAGAGACAGGAGGAATCTGTCAGTTATCTAGCTTAGGGGCCAGAGCAGGGGAGGGAGAAGGGCCAGAGCAGGGGAGGGAGAAGGGCCAGGGCAGTGATGAGACAGGGACGGTAGAAAGGGGGACTTTGGGGATGTCTGGGTGGCCACGGTGGGAGCCAGGGGCTGGGTCTGCAGCTCTCTTCATCTGCATTGAGGGGAACCTCCAAGATGCCCCAGAGGCTAGCGAGAAGAGAGCTCAGGACAGAGGCCTGCTAGGGCAGCTAGCTGGCACCATGGTGTCCAGAGCTGAGTTCAAATCCAGCTTGGGACACCTAGAGCTGTGTGTGCCGGGGCTCTGTGGCGGCATCTGCCATGCTGCTTTTCTGGACAGGCAGCCCAGATGGGCTTGGGGTGTGGGTCGGGAGCGAGGGAGAAGGGCAGACAGGTAAGGGCAGAGACATCCAGGTTTGGGAAGAAGAGATCACTGAGTGTCAGGTGCCTGTCCAGAGGGGGGCCTGAGACGGTCAGATGTGGCCAGGAGGAGGTCTGGGAGAGGGCAGGCCCGGGGAAGCCCAATCCCAGAGGAGGGACAGGGAAGAAGCCTGGAGAGGTGGGAAGGAAGGGAGAGAGGAAGTGACCAAAGGGCCTGGGTTGTGGAGGATGGGGGCTGGGCCTGCCCCACCCCACACCCATCCCTGCCCCTTGTGCCCCCAGGTGACCATCAACCTGGACCACTATGCTTACATACAGTTCTGGGCCCTGGGCCAGCGAGTGGGGCGGCTCCCACGCAAGTCTATGGTGGGCTCCGAACGGGGCTTCTTCACCAAGTCCCCTCCTGCCGAGCGGTGAGTGGGGGGTCCCCGCAGCGAGACCCTGCAGCCTGTTGTCACAGAGAGGCCAGGGCAGCTAGGAGGGGAGAGGGGAAGCCGAAACCCATCTAGTTACAGAAGAATGAGCCGAGGCCCAGAGAGGGTCAGGGGTCTGGCCAAGGTCACAGAGCAAGCCCAGAGTCAGAGCTGGAAGGGCTCGGAAATCATCGAGTCCAGCCTCCCCATTTTACTGAGAGGGAGGTTGAGGCCCAGAGAAGTCACTTGTCTATGGTCATCCAGGCAGTAAATGACAGAGCCGGGATCCATTCTAGACTCCCGCAGCTAGAAGACACCTTTGTTTGACAGATGCAAAAACTGAGGCCCAGGAAGGTTTCAGGGTTTGCTGACAGCCCTCCAGCCTCTCACACGGCAAGGGTTAGACCCTCTCCTCCCCACCCCCACCCCCCACCCCCCAAGTCTTGGAGGTCAGTTGGGTGTCAGAAGGAATTCCTGACCGGGCCCTGGGGGCTCAGGCGTTACTTTAAGCGGGTAGTGGTGGCAGCCCGCACCAAGCAGGGTCACCTGGTGCTGAAGAGCTTCAAAGACACCCCCCTGGAGGGGCTGGAGCAGCTCCTGCCCGAGCTGAAGGTGCGGATGCCCCCCCTACGGCGGGCCCTGCTCAACGCCATCCTCCTGGTCTCTGGCCTGATGTTCTTTGTCAACGTGGGCATGGTGGTCCTGTCTGACCTCAAGGTGGCCACCTCCCTGCTGCTGCTGCTGTTTGCCATCTTCATGGCCCACCGAGCCTCCAAGGTGAGCCCGGGGCCAGGGGCCACCTCTGCTGCTTAGCAGTGGGGGCGTGGCCTTCTTCAGCCTTAGCTTCCCATCTGTGAAATGAGAAGGTTGCGCTGAACTGAACAGTCTGACCTCTGCACTTCCAGGGGCTGCCTGGTGGTCCATCGCCTAGTGGGGGGTGTATGGGTGTGATGGAGCCCTGTGGGAAGTAGGGCGGGGTGTTGTGATCGGATGCCCCAACTCTCTGTCCTTAGACCCTAGAACCCATGGTAGGGCTGGAAGGGGGCTGAGGGCTGTCTGGCCCCTCTGCTCTTTATGCTTAAGGAAACTGAGGCTGGGTCACACAGCTAGGGAGCAGGAGGTGTGGGAGTAAGCACTGTATGGCCTTCGTCACCGCCAACGTGGTGGCCCCCTCTCCCTCGAGGCTGCCACTTCATTCTTGAGTGAATGAATGAATAAGTGAAACTTCCAAGGGGAGCAGCCCCTGAGCCCCAGGGTGGGGTCCTCAATGGTTTGGAATCCAATGAACGCTTGGAATGAAAGTGTGAGTGGACAACAGCCAGCAGAACCCCTGCTGTGTCCCTCCCCGAAAGTCCCTTCCCTCCACGTGTGCCCCCCCCCGCTGTGCCCCCATGCACCCTCCCGCTGTGTCCCTCTTCCCCCAATGCCCTCCATGTCCCTTCCCTCCACGTGTCCCCCTCCCCCCTGCTGTGTGCCTCTTCCCCCCTCGCTGTCCTTCCCCATGTCCTCTCCCCCATGTTCCCTCTCCACGTGTCCCTCTTCCCCCCCCCCCGCTGTGCCCCCCATGCTCCCCCCCAGTGCCCCCATCCCTCGCTGTGTCCCCTCTGGGGCCCTTCCCCCCGCAGATGTTCGGCCAGCATCGGAACCTGCAGGCTCTGGAGCTAGCCCACATGTTGTACTTCCGAAGCACTTCCAACAACTCGGAGCTGATCACGGCCCTGGTGCACCGGGCTCAGGAGGAGCACGCCAAGGAAGTCCTGCTGGCCCACAGCTTCATGGGACGAAGGGGCCCGGGGCCCCCCGAGGGTAAGCAGCTCCCCAGAGCCGAGCCCTGACGCCCAGGGCCCACGACTCACCTGCTGATCTGCTCCTTCCCCTCCCCTAGAGAGCGCCAGGTGGCTTCAGGCCTCGGTAGAGGCCTGGCTCCTGGCCCGGACAGGCTGCGAAGTGATCTTCAATGGGGCCCGGGCCCTCAGCCACCTGGAAGCCCTATCCCAAAACACACCCCCTGGCTCACCACCCGATCTCTGCAGGAGCCCTCGGCCCTCCTGGGCTGCACAGCTTCAGAGACCCCTGATGCCTCCCGGGACCCAGCCAAGCAGGGAATGAGCTTCCTGTCATCTCCTGGCCCACGGGGCCCCACGGGTCAGAGTGCTGGCCCACTGGCTTCCAGTGGGCCGAGACTCACAGCCCAGGGCCACTCTTCCCCAGGGATGGAGGGGCACGTGGCCCTGGGAAAGACTGGTGTCTCTGTGCTCCCCACTGCCGTCAGCCTTTTGGGAAGGCAGTGGGGTCTGCCCTCCCAATGCCAGTGCCTTCCCCAGACCCTCATATTTTCAATACTGACTTCTGCCAACGCTACCTCTGGCTCCGTCCCACCCCATGGCCCCTGTGTGCAAAACTGATCCCTGTTCCCGTCTGTCCTCCAGCTCCCCAAAGAAATAAACCCTGTTTACACTGCTCTCTGTGTGTGGGGGAGGGCTGCCCTGCATGTGGGGCCCTGAGGGGGCAAGGCTGGCTAAGCAGGGACCCTTCAGTGTGAGCAGTGGGGGCTGGGCCGTATAAGCCCAAAGCATGCTGGTGGTGGGGGCCCGGGATGCCCGGGCATCCTGTGAAAGAAAGGCATTTACCCCGTTCTCCTAAAACGTCAGAATGGACCCGGCTAGGGGCGTCTCTTCCCTTCCCCAGGGGTTCACTGGAGCTGGGCTTGTCCTCTGCCTGGGAGGGTGGGGCTGGGGGGGCCTTCTACCCCACAGGGACCCCCCATGGCGAAGGCAGCCCCGGGCCCCAGAGCCCAGGGGAGTGCTGGAGCAGGCAGGGTCACAAGGGACGGCGTCGGGTGCACAGAACTCAAGAATGATCAGAGCTCACACTCGCTGGAGAGGTTACAAAGCGCTTTACTCCATCAGCTCTTGTTTGTATCTAGTGACATGCTGCCCCATTTGCCCTAAGATTCAGAGCTAATCTGGGCCTTTGCCACTGAAGAGGAAGAGGCCGGGGCCCACAGGAGGTGCCCACGCCAGGGCAAGTCTCTTGGGCTCTACCCTTCCCTGCAATTGGTACCTTCCAGTTATAGTTGGGGGAGGGGAAGTGACTTCCCTAGGGTCAGACGGCCAGGATTAAGCCCAAGGCTCTTGCCTCCTCCCGTTCCAATACGAGTGTAGAGGGTCGGAGCTCGGAGAGACCCCAGGACTAAGGGCCGTCACAGTGACAGGGACCTTGGAGCTCATAGGCAGAGCTGAAAGGGACTTTGTAGAAGCGGGAATGTCAGGACAGAAGGGGCTTGTTGCAAGGCCGTGTTATAACAGGAAGGACCCTTAGAACAGAGGCTGCCAGAGCTGGGAGAGAAGGGAGGGAATAGACTCTCTAAGAGCACCCACTGTGCAGGCACCATGCTAAGTACTTGACAAACATTTCATGTGATCCTCGCGACAACTCAGGGAAAGGTGCTATTATTACCCTCATTTTACAGTTGAGGAAACTGAGGCAAACAGGTTACGTGACTTGCCTAAGGTCCCACGGCTAGTAAGTGCCTGAGGCCAGATTTGAACTGAGGTCTTGACTCCTGGCCCAGCCATCTGGGCACTGTGCCACCTGGCGGCCTGAGTCAGAGCTGGAAAAAGGACCCCAGAGCACCAGGTGTCGGGGGCAGGAAGTACACGTCAGAGGGGCTGGGCCAGAAGGAGGAGGAAGAGGACGAGAAAGCATCTTCTTACTCCCCCGTTCCACAGAGACTGCTGACCTAGCCCAGGCCGAGGCAGCACGGGGAGGCAGGGCTGGAGAGGCTGCTGTCTCACTGGTTCAGCGCTGTGAGCCAGGGCCAGCTGGCCAGGGGAGGGGGAGGTCACTCGCGCTTCCTCAGGTGGATGTAAATGATGCCGCTGGCCAGCGCCAGGGGAAATGCCACCCAGGCTAGGGCAAAGCAGTAGCCGAAGGAGCCGCCAGGATGATGGAACTCCTTGACGTGTATGGCGTAGATGAGGGCCCCAGTGAACACGGACACACCTGGCGGGGACAGAGGGGGTCACCCTGGCGCCCTTCCTGCACCGACCCCTCCCCATCCCTGCACCGGCCCTGCCCCCATCGGGCAGCCATGCCCGAGGCTCCCAGGTCACTCACTGGTGCAGAGCTGGCAAAGGCCGGTGGCATAGAAGAGTCCCCCTCGCTTCATGTTGTACAGTTGGAACATGAAGAGGATGAAGGAGAGGCAGCAGAGCACCAAGGACAGTACCATGAGGGCCTGCACGGCCTTCAGCCAGCCTGGGGAGGGGGAGACTCTCAGCCACAGGAGGGCGCCAGAGCGATCCCATGCGCCACGCCATCCCCATTCCCTCCCCTGCCTCCCACATGCCCTGGCCGGGCTATTAGACTGTAAGCTCCTCGAGGGCAGGGACGCTGTGTGCATTTTGTATTTGTATTTCTGGCACCCAGCATAGTGCTTGGCATATAGTAGGTGTTTAATAAATGCTTTTTCATTCTTTCATTCATTCGTTCATTCGCACTGGCCCCACCCTCCTCAGAATGTGCGATCCAACCCTGGTAGTCCCCTCATAAGCAAGGGCTGTCCCCAGGACTTGTTCATGGGCCGTGGGAATGGCAATACCTCCCGCCCCCTCGGTGCCGGGGCATAGGTGGGTGGGGGGAGCTTTGGGGGTCGGGGTGTGTTCCCTCACCATTTTCGCTGACATTTCTGCATTCCCAGACCTGGGAAGACTGGTTCGTGTATGCCAAACATTCCTTCCAAAGATTCAGTGAGTCATTCCCAGGGAGGACCCACCATGACTGGGACCAGTCAGGGTCAAAAAAAGAAGGCAGATTAGGGAAGATGACAAGAGTCAGGGATATGGGGGATGGGGTGGGGGCAGAGGGATTTCCTTAAACTCCAATTTGACCACATCTCTCCCCTTAGTAAGGTCCCCTGACTCCTTGTTGGCCCTCGGCTAAAAATAACCCCTTTGTTTAGTTGGAAAATCCTTCTCTTATAGTGGCCCCATCGGGTGGTATCCCTTTTCCAATTATGGACCAATGGCAGCAAAGGCCCATCATCTTTGCACTCCCCGTCCCCTTTCCTGGGGTACATCCCCCTCCTCACCTCTCTCCCTCCTCGCAAGAAACCTCAAATACCTTCTACACCAAGCCCTTCTTGGCCCTCCTGTCCCTAAAGTCACTGCCCTCCCTCCTGTATGTGTGTATGCATGTATTGTGTGTACACACGTACATGTATGTGTATGTATGAGGTTTGCACATGCATGTGCTGCATCGGTGAGTGCACGTGTATGTGTATGTGTGCATGTATATGTATGTGTGTGTGTGTATCGTTGTTTCTTCCTTACACGTAAGACCTTTGAGGGCAAGGAATATTCATTTTTGTCTCTGTATTCCAAAGGCGCTTAGCACAGCCTGTATTAAATTGCATTGCATTGCTGGATGCTTTCAGAGTGATTGAAAGGACTGGATTGTGGGCAGAGAGGAAAGGGGCTGGGTCAGAGAGGGGTGTGGGAGCAGGGAGCAAGAGCCCAGGCCTGAGCCAGAACGCTCGCCTCCCAAGTTCATCAGTCTCACCTTGTCCAGGGTGGCCACGAAGAGCAGAATGAGAATGAGGATGTGCAAGGCAGAGACCACCACCAGGAGCAGGGACATGGTGCCCACAGTCTGGGGGGAGGGAGAGAGACAGGCTGGGGACACCTGGGGCCCTGGGCTGGCAGGAGATGTCGAGGGGGAAGCTTAGAGCCCTAGGGTAATGGCTTGGGAGCCCAGCCTGGATACTCCCCGGTGGAGCTGGAGGAAATGCCTGCATCCCCAAAGGATCAGAGGCTCCTGAGGGAACTTGTGTGGGGAGGCGGAGCTGGAGGATTCTTCCCCTCGCTTCCCTCCTCCTACATTCAAGAGCATTTACCCGGGGCCCTCTAAAAACTAGAACCCTGATATGAGGATTGAAACCTGCCCCACCTAGTTCCTCCCAGCAATTCCCCAGTCTCCGAGCTGGGGTGGGGCACAGTCCCAGGGACCCAGATATCCACTAGGCTCTCCCCCCCTCTTCCCCCCTCTTTGGTGGGGGGTCAGAGTGAGTCACTGTGACTCATCCCCTTCTCTCCCACCAGAGAAACCCCAGCCCTCCCTAAGTCATCCCTCCCTCAAAGGCAGGGCAGCCAGACACCTGGGGCCTTTCAGGGCTAAGGAAATGAGATGGGGGCAGAGGGCAGCGTGCTGGAGGTTTGGGTGCTAGCAGGGCAGACATGGGAAACCTGGGCCTGAAGCTGTGGATCCCTAGGAGAGCAAAACTGGGGTGCAAGCAGCTTGGGAAGGCTTGGCGCAGGACAGGTAAGGGAATTAGTCGGGAAAGAGACCCCTGGGTCCCTTGAGAGAACTGGCCAAGAGGGAGAATTAGGGTGTGGAAGTTGGGGTGGAGGAAGGTAGGGAATCCTGGGTCTTTGTGGGACTGAGCTGGGGAGTAAGGGCTGTTAGCCCAGATGCCTGGATCCCCAGAGGACTGAGGACGAGGCAGTAAGAGACAGCTGGGGTCTTTGGCAAAACACCCTCTACCCCCGCCCCCTCCCCTGCATCTGTGGGGGAGGGGATGTCCCATCTGTGGATCCCAAGGCATGTTGCCTCTCCCCTCTACCCCCCCCTTCCTCTTCCCTTCCCATACCTACCTATTAAGTGCTTTAGGATTCTTACCCTCTCCTTGGTGAGGTAGAAGGTGCCTGAAGGCAGATGGGGTCTTTGCGGTCTCAAAGGCTCCTTTCTTTCTCAAATAACGGGAGAAGCACTTAGCCAGTGCAGCCAGAGGAAGTCAGAGCTAATGCTCGGTCCCCTTTCCCGGCCTCCCTGCCCCGCCCTGCTCTCTCCCTCCTTCCCTCCACCCCCTGCCCGGCCCCCGCCTTCCTCCCTCTCTCTCCCTCCCTCCTTCCTTCCTCTGAAGACCCACTCCCTAGTCTCTCTGGTCCAAACCTCTCTTCCTCTTGGTGCCTGCCTGGTCTCTGCCTCTCTCTGTATTTCTCTGCCTCTGGGATATACGCTCTTACTTCCTTTTTATTTACAAGCAGAAGACTGGGAGGGACCCAAGCTTCCATTGAGTCATACACCATCTCGGTCTCTCCTTCTCTGTGTGTCTCTCTGTCTCTTTCCCTCTCTGTCTTACCACCTGCCTCTGTCTCTCTGTCTCTATATCTCTATGTGTCTTACTCATTTGTCTACTCCAACCTCGTTCCTTCCAATTTCTTTCACCATCGCCCCCATCCCCAGGGGCCTGCAGAGACTGAGGGCTGGGGAAGGTAGCTGGAAGGCAGGAGTATGATTTAGGAAGTCAACCAGTCAATAAATAGTTATTAAGCACCTGCTAAGTGCCAGGCACTGTATTGAGGGCTGAGAATACAAAAAAACCCAAAAACCCAACACCGCTAAAAGATAGTTCCTGCCTGCCAGGAGCTTGTGATCTAATGGGGTAGGCTATGCACAAACAGCATATACAAAGCAAGCTATAGACAGAATAAATGGGAAATAATCAACAGGGGGAAGGAACTGGGATTAAGAGGGGTTGGGGAAGACTTTGGGGGAGGTCAGTAGTCAGAGCGGAGGGTGTAGAGTGTTCCAGGCATGTGGGATAGGCAAAGAGGGTGCCTGGAGCCAAGACGTAAAATGTCTTGTTTGGGAAGACCCAGGTGGCCAGTGTCACTGGATTGAAGACTATATGTTGGGGAGTGAGGTGTCAGAAGGCCGGAAAGGGAGGAGGAGGGGGCTGGTTATGAAAGGCTCTAATTGCCAGAGGTCTCTTGTTGAGCTGGACCAAGCGGTTTGAAATGTCTGACAGGCCGTGAGAGATGCAGGATCGGAGGTCTGCAGAGGGCTGGTGGCAAGAGAGGCAGATTTGAGACAAATCAGCGTAGAGAGGGTGATTAAATTCGTGGGAGCCGATGAGATCCCCAAGTGAAATCCTATAGAGAGAAGAGGGCCCAGGACAGTCCCTGAGGGATGTGTATGGAGAGAGGGCCTGATGTTTGGGGGGGCTCCAGCAAAGGAGGCAGAGAAGGAGCAGTCAGAGGTGGAGGAGGAGGGGGCGGGAGCTGTCCCAACAACCTAGAGAGAAGAGAGGATGAAGAAGAGAGTGTTCAGCAGAGGGGTCAAGATGGATGTCTGGAACCCTTGGGAGATGGGAATGGGAGGCACAAGCTGGGACAGCAGCTGCCTGGCTTCCCAGAAAAAGGACTGGAGTGAGATTTAGGAGACCCAATCTAGAGGTTTGGCTCAAAATGTTACCACTCTGGGCCTCATCGACATCATCTGTAAAGTGGGGATAATAATCTCCACTGTGTCTACATCCTGTATGAAAGTGAGGAACTTAATTTTTCCAACACTTGGTGGATTGGTTGACTGGGTGGTCCGGCTCAGGCACGGTGGCCTAAGAAGCCAGGCCCCGCCCCCCCCCACCCAATGAAGCTCTTGAATCAGAGGGACAAAGAACCCTGGGGTCCAAGCCCGGGGAAGTAAGCGTTCAGACTGCTGTGCCCTGCCCTGGGCAGACCCCAGCTGGAGGACTGGGTTCAGTTGCATTCAATTCCATCTAACAAGCTCTTCTTGAGCCCCTACAGGGAGCCCAACACCAGGCTACAAAAACAACCAACCAGTTCGGGGCCTGGTGACTTTTTTATTCCAGTGGGGGTGGGGAACACAACAGATAACACAGAGAATTAGATACACACTGCCTAACCAGTAACTTGGGTGTGGAAGGGGGCGGGGAGGCCCTGGCAGTTTAGGAGCCCCGTAGTTTACACCATAGAGCAGCCGGCTGAAGGAGCTTTGGAGGCAGACTGTGATGTCATAGGGCCCCTCATTTTAAGGCCTTCTTCTTCTCCTTTCACCCACTGCTCCTGGTGTCCCGAGGACCGCTTGCTAGCCAGGAAGAGCCCTGGGCTTGATGGGAGCCCGAGGCCCCAGGTTCAAACTTGCCACAGGGCAAAGCTCTGCTCAGATCCAGAAAAGGACTTGCTTAAGCTCATAAGCCCAAGCAGCAGGATTTGAACCCAGGGCCTCTGACTCCAAACCTGCAGCTCTTTCCTGGCTATAGAGCAGTGCTTGGCCAAACCAGGAGCTATGGGTGGAAAAGGTAGATTTAATCTTGTTGGCAGAAAACACTTGTAGCCCAGGGGTCCGGCCCGAGTGGGCAGGTGGGAGGTGGGCCTGCTGGTCCCGCGTGGCTAGGAGGGTCCGAGGCCCGCCCGCCCCCAGGCTGATGCTGAGCCCCGGGAGGAGAGTGAGGAGACTGCTGCTTCCTCCCACAGGAAACCGCAAACAGCTCTGGGGCACGCCCTGTCCCGTGGGCAACCGAGCCCGGAGCTGGCCTGCAGCCCGCCTGCCTTCGAGGCCCAGCGTCGGGGAGCTGCGGGCTGGCAGCACGTGGAGGGAGGCTCGGGCCGGAGGCGGGGCCGGGAGGGCGGTGTTCCCTCACACTGGGGAAGGGGAGGAGTCCAGGAGGGAGTCCCCGCCCCCAAGGCCCCGCCTCCTGCTCCGGGTCCGTTCGAAAACTGTTGGTGCGCAGGCGCATTAAGGCAAGGGCGCGAGGGAGAAAAGAGGCGGTGAGTAGCTCTCCGCCTACTTGAGCTCCGTTTGCCACCCGCAGATTAAGAGCCCTTCTCCCCTTAGCCCCGCCCCCTCAGCAGCTCCTCCCTCCCTTTCCTCCGGCCCCTCCCTCTCAGCCCCTCGGCTGCTGCTTCTACATCCCCTTAACCTCCAGCTTCAGCTCTCCCCCGCCCAGCAGCTCCTCCTCAAGTCCCTCGCCTAAATCCCCATCTTAATTCCTCTCCAAGCCCCTCTCCTCAAATCCAACTTAGCCCCCTCCCCAGTTTCTACACCCCCCCCCGTCCCCCTTGTCCCGCCCTCCAGCATCCCCAGCCACGCCCTCCCAAAGCTTTCCCTTCCATCTCTCGCTTGGCCCCGCCCCCATCCCCTTAGCCCCAGCCCCGGGCAGCTCCGCGTTGTCCTCCGATAGCCAGCCCCTCCTTCCCTAGCCCGCCCCTCTCCCTTGGCTTGACTGCCTGCCCTGGGCCAGCCCGAGGCCGGGGAGGCGTCTGGAAGAGGTCCTCCGAGCCAGCCTCCCCCTGGAAGAGTCGGGGAAGGGTCCGAGGGAAGCAGAGGGAAGGAGGGGGGAAAGGAGAAACGGGAAACGGGAGGGAGGAGCGGGAAGGAGGGGTCCCAGCCCCCCGCTTCGCCCAGGCCAGCTTCCCCAATCCCTGCCGTTGATCCTGTCGCCCCCAGCAACCGGGACCACAACAGAGGGGGTACCCAGGAGAAGTCCGTGTCCAGACTGGTAGGGCCCCGGGTGCCCCTTCCCCCACCCCCAACTTCCCAACCTGGATCCTCCACTGCCCCCCAAGAGCCCCCCAAGCAGACTTCTCCCCCCAGCCACCATGCCGCTGGCCGGCAGCGTGCTCTCGGAGGACAGCGAAGCCTACATGGATAGCTCAGGTAAGTGCTCCCGGCCTGGGGGGTCGGAGCTGGGCCGCTGGCCCAGCCCCACCCCCGGCTAAGCACTCCGCACTTGCCCCCTGCCCAGCAGAGGGGGAGCTGAGCCGCCTGCAGAGACAATGCCGGGTGATGGAGGGGGGGAGCGGCAGGCTTACAGCCGGTCGACCCAGCAGCTGTTACACAAGCAAATGTGAGCCTGGGTCCGGGGGGTGGAGGCTGGGAAAGGATGCTGGAGCGCTCGAGGCCACCCAGGGCAGGGCCCTTCATCTAACGGATGAGGGCGTTGGGTAGGGTGGCCCAGATCCCAGCGGCTGGCCAGCGCCAGCGCTCTTGGGCTCTGCCCCTGCAGGGTGGAGATCCATCGGCTGCAGCAGGAGCAGACTGAACTTCAAGTGAAGATAAAGATTTCCAAGAGCCAAGCTCGGAGGCTCCTGGACCAGGCACGGGAGAAGGGCCTTCGAAGCCTCATGGATCGCAGGCAGCAGCTGTACAAGGAGGTGGTCCAGGAACAGGAGCACCTGAAGACGCTGGACCAACAGGTGGGGCGGGGAGGGGGGGAAGTGCAGGGGCGAGGGGGAGCTGGCAGAGTGAGGACAGACGGAGTCCCTTCTCCGCGGCCCCCCGGGGCTCCAGATTGCCAAGTGGGAGAGTCGAGTGTTGATGCAGCTGAAGGACCTCAGGGGCCCAGGCTTAGTCCTGCAGAAGAAGGCCCAGAATTTCCACAGAGTGAAGGTCTTGGAGAACCAGCTAGACCGGGTGAGTGCCCCTGGGGCCCTGATGGGGGGGGTCAGGTGGCCAGCAGAGCCAGCTTGGTGACTCTGCCATCCTGATGCCCTGCAGGCCAACACCCGCTTTGACACCCAGCTGGTGAAGAACAGGGTCCTTCGGGAAGAGCTGGGTTTGCTGCACATTCAGAGGAATCATTTTCTGCATCTTGACCACCAGCTGAGGAAGGTCAGGGCCTAGGGCCCTTAGGCAGAGGGAGGAGGGAGCTGGGCTCCGCCTCTCTCCCTCACCAACTTGCTGCCCATGCCCATGCTAAGCAGGAGCTACAGGACATCCGCTTCAGCATTCAGTCTCACATAGACAATTCCAACGCAGCCTTTGATGCCAGGTAATCTTTGGCTCTTCCCTGGTGTGCGCGGGTGTCCCTTCTCTGAATTGGGTGAGTGCGGGCACTGGGGGCTTGTGATGGGCTAAGGGTGGCTCCTCTCAATGTGGCTGGGACTGGCTCCTGGGACTCTGTGTAGTGCCAAGCTCCTCCCCTCTAGACGTCTCTGGAGCCCTCTTTAAGACTGAGAGAGCCAGCTCTCTCCATTAGGCCTCTCTGGGACTTCATGTGGTGTGGGGCCATCAGTCCCTTCAAATCTGTTTGTCTGCACTGTCCCATCCCCCCCAGGATGAGGGAGCCTGGCCCTTCTATATGTTTCTGGTACAGTCCCTGTCTGGGATTGAGGAAGCCAGCTCCAACCTGCCCTAGGCTCACCCAGCTTCTCCCTGGGGCCAGGATTGAGGTCTCATCTTCAGGCTACTTCCCTGAGGCCCCCATCCAGGACTGAGGGAGCCAGGCTTTCAAAAGAGCTGGCCCCTCCATGTGCCTCTGTGCTGCCCCCTCGGGCAGGGAGGAAGCCAAGCTGAAGCTGAGCCAGCTGCAGGAGAAGCTGGACAAGGACTTGAGCCAGTACAATGCAGAGCTGCAGGTGGTCCAGAGGCAGATCTGCCACCTTGAGCAGCTGCACAACTTCCTGGTTACCAAGAACCAAGAGAGAGTTGTGGATGATGCGGTGATGATGGCTCGGCGCAAGCGGGGTGAGGGCCTGGGGGCCACAGAATTCCCCTCAATTTAGCAATAGAGAAACCACGGCCCAGATTGGGGCAAGGGCTTGGCCAAGGGCACACGACTTCTTTAGGTGCTGTCATGTCCACCATCCTGCCTGTTTGACAGAGAGGGAAACTGAGGACTTGAAGGGGTGGGGGCACCTAATGCCTAGGTCAAAGGCCTTTCTTTTGATGAATCCTTCTGCAGTGGGGCACTTTGGGCCTGGACAGCCGGAGGACGAACTGGGAGAAGGGGTACCTGGGGCTTGAGGAGCTGGTCCTCCCTGAGGAAACTGAGAAGGAAGAGAAGAGTGGGAGGGGAGGTCAGACAGGCTGAGAGAGGGCCGCTGACGCTTGGGGCTCCCCGCAGAGCAAGAGGTGGCTGAAGGCCTCCGCAAGACCTCGTTGGAGAAGGCCATTCTGCAGTACGAGGAGGTGCTGGAGAAGCTGGGGGAGATCACGGGCCACAGCCAGGCTGACGACATTCTGAAGACTTACTTGGAGAGTAAGGGCAGAGGGAGGTGCAGCGGCAGCCCTAGCCTCTCCCCCTGGCCTTTGGCCTCTGTCTGTCCTCTCTCCTGTCTTCTCTCTTCCTTCCCTCTTTCCTCCTCTCTCTCTGCCTCAGTCTCTCCTCCCACTTGATCCTCTTTGCTCTTCTTTTCTGGCTCCCGGTCTACTCTATCTCTCCCTCCCTGTCTGTCTGCTGTCCCTTGTCCCTGCTCCCTCCCTTCCCCCTTCTCTCTCTCTCTCTCTCTCTCTCTCTCTCTCTCTCTCTCTCTCTCTCTCTCTCTCTCTCTCTGTCTCTCTCTCTGTCTCTCTCTCACACACCCTCTGTCTCTCTCTCTGTCTCTCTCTCCCTCCCCCTTCTCCCTACTCCCTCCCTTCCTCTCCTCTCTCTCTCCCTCCCTCTGCTCCCTCCCTTCCCCCCTTCTCTCTCACACCTTCTCTCTGTCTCCCTCCCTCTTTCTGCTCTCCCTTCTCTCCAATCCCTCCTTTCCTCTCCTTCTCTTCTGTCTCTCCTTCCTGCTGTTCCCTCTTGTCCTCGCTCCCTCTCTTCCCTTCTCTCTCACACCCTCTCTCTTTCTCTCCCTCCCTCCTTCTGCTCCCCCTTCTCCCTACTCCCTCCCTTCCTCTCCTCTCTCTCCCTCCCTCTGCTCCCCTTGTCCTCTCACCTTCCGCTCTCTCACACCCTCTCTCTGTCTCTCTCCCCCTCCCTCCTTCTAATCCCCCTTTTCCCTACTCCCTCCCTTCTTCCTCTCCTTCTCTTCTCTCTCTCCCTCCCTCTGCTCCCCCTTGTCCCTGCTCCCTCCCTTCCTCCCCTTCTCTTTTCTCTCTCTCTGGTGCTCTCCATTCTTCCTGTTTCTCTCTTCCACTCTCCTCAGATGAGGAAAGAAACTTTGCCGTGTTCACTTTTATCAATGAGCAGAACTCTGAGATGGAGAAGCTGGCGGAGGAGATCCAGCAGGTGAGGCCACACCACCTGGTGAAGGAAGTCCCCACCCCTGTCCCAAAGGGATTCCGGGGCCACCCTCCCCCCCCCCCGCGGCTTCAGCCCCACCTAGAGAGAGGGATGCCAAGTGTGCCTCAGGCTTCTCGTCTGTCAGATGAGGGCAAAGTGCCCCCTCCCTTCCAGTTTTGTGGGAGGATCACAAAAGGCCCTTTGGACCTTCGGGGATCCCCAGTGGTGTTGCCATCGTCTCTAGATCCAGGATGCCCTGGCTCAGCTGACCTTGGCCCAAGAAGAGGCCGAGCAGGGGTCCAAGCGGCAGCAGCTTGATGCCCTGGAGCAGCGCAAGGTGGACTTGGCTAAGGAGGCTGAGGCGGTGGAGGCCAGGCAGGACAAGATGAGCAAGACCCTAGACCAGCTGAAGGCTGGTGAGGGACCCTGGGGCCAGCAGGAGGCAGAGGAGAGGGCAGGGGGCCCGGGATGAAGTGACCTAGGTGACCTCAGGGCAAATCTCCAAGCCCTTCTCAGCTGGAGGGCACAAGGACTTGGGGGGGGCACAGGGAAGGGAGGAGTCAGGAGCTGAGAGAGGAGAAACCAAGGGTCTGAGAGGGGCTGATGGCCTTGACTGAAGGAAGGAGGGGCCGATGGGTGGGGACTGCCCGGGAGCAGGGCTACCCCAGCCCTTGCTGAACCCCCCCTTCCGCCCACCCTGCAGCCACCAAGTCTTTGTTCTACAAGGCCAAGTGTGATGACACCAGACTCAAAGAGCTTCTGGGAGGCAGCCACATGGGGACCAAGATCATGGAGTTGCTTCTCAGCCTCATTGAGCATCGAGTGATGGACCTGCTGGCTGCCCAGGCCTTCGCCAGCTCCTTGGTAGGCAGAGCCCCCCGCCTCTGGGGCTGCCAGGCTGAGGAGGCGAGCCTGAGCACCCCTGGGGCTGCTGGGCTGGAGAGGCAGCCCGGGTGCCCCCAGCTGACCTCCACCTCTGGGGCTGCCGGGCTGGGGAGGCAGGCCCAAGAACCCCCAGCTGACCCCTGCCCTTGCCCTTCCTCAGGAATCCAGCAGCTATAACCCCCAGTCCACCGCCCTCAGGCTCCTGGGCCAGAGTGAAGATGCCATCCCCAAGAAACTTGTTCCACCGCAGCCCCCCAGCCACATGTAAGAGGCTGATGAGAATCTGGGGGACTGGGAGGGAAAGGGGGACAGGGCCAGATATAGGAACAAAGGAGGGCAGACCTTAGGGCAGGATTCTGGAACGGAGGGCTGGAGGGAAGATTCAGCCACAGGGGAACCTGGAGAGATGCTGGGCACTTTGGAGGGCAGAGAGGAGCAGGGCGAGAGGGACAGAGAGTCGGGGGATATAGGAACAAAGGTCCTCTGGGGGACAAGCAGAGAAAGGGGAAATGCAGGGCTGCTGGGGGAGGGGAGGATTCTGATATGGCTGAGGCAGTCAGGCCCTTCCATCCAAGGGACGATCCCGTGGGGCTGGAGCAGATGGACGAACGGCCCCTGACTCGGGAGGAGATTTTAGCCCAGGTCCTCAAGGCGGTGAGAAGTGGGGGCCTTGGGACAGCCTGTGGGAGGCCCCTCTTCCTCGTGCTCACCTGTATCCCCAGCAGCCCCAAGCACCATCCCTTCCATCCCCCACATCCTCTATCTCCTATCTTCCTCCTTCCCTCCTCACCCTGGCCAGCCCCTCCATCTTACCTCCCATATCTCTACCCCTGCCACCTCCCAACTCCCCAGTCCCCTTGGCCCCTGTATTCCCCTCTCTCCCATCCCCTCTGCATGCCCTCACCCTTCTGTGACTGACTCTTCCCACCTTACTCCTCTCCCAATGAAATACAGATGCAGGATCGGGAACTGGGCAAGGAGCACCCGGCCACGACCTTGCAATTGAGCAAGAGGGCATCAGAAAAACCCTCTGTGTAGGCTAAGGTTTAACCTCCAAGCATTTGGCCTCCCTCCGCTTGGAGACCTGTTGCCCAGCTATCCCTCGCCACTCTCCCCACGTATAAGGCTCCCAACTTTCTGTCTGTCTCTCTGCAGCCCTGGGAGTCCTTGGCTGCCCACGTCTGGGGGCATCATGGTCTCCTGGTGGTTGTGCCTCTCCCTTTCCTGAGTCTTAGCTTCCTTCCATCCCTTCCCAAGTTCAGAGTATAGCCAAGGCCTGGGTGGCCTGGGCGGAGATGGGGGGGGGGGTCCAGTGATGCTGTGACCTCAGGGAATAAAAGGTACTAGCCCCAGCCAGTCCATAAGACTAAAGTCTTCTGTTTCAAATCGCTTTCAATTCAATTATCATTCAGTACCGCTCACTTGATGGGCAGGGGTACAAAAATACTCGAGGGGTTTTTGTTTTGTTTTGTAATAAGATCAGTCCCTGCCCCTCGAAAGCTCACTGAGCACACACATAAATAAAGATGACATATCTCCACAGGAGAGGAGAAGAAGAGGGGTGGGAGGTGGCACGGCCGCATGGAGTGCTGTGGCTACCTTGAACTTCACCTTCGAGGGATCTGAAAATTCTAAAGGGAAAAGAATGAAGGGACTTGCATTCCCAGCTTGGGAGACCACTGTCAGCTGGTGCAAAGGCCTTGGGGGCCTGCATGATGGCACGTGGGAGAGGCCAGTGCTTGGACCACAGAATTTGTGGAGGGCTCCTGTTGGTGGAAGCAACTGGGCATGTTTGGTCTGAGGAAGAGAAGATTGGGTGGGAGGGGAGGGCAGCTGGAAGAGCTGTTTTGAAGTTTTTTCATGAATTGTCATGGAGAAGAGGGATGAGGGGCAGCTAGGTGGCACAGTGGATAGAGCACTAGCCCTGAAGTCAGGAGGACCTGAGTTCAAATCTGGCCTCAGACCAAACACTCGACACTTACTAGCTATGTGACCCTGGGCAAGTCACTTACCCCCAATTGCCTAAAAAAAAAGGTGGGACAGTAGGAGGAAGTTATAAAGAGACTAAGGCTTGATGTCAGGAAAATGTCTTCACAATATGTCCCCATCCCAACTGGAGCGTACTGCCTGGGGAGGTGAGGGCTCCTCCTCTGAGGCCTTCATAGAGAGACTCCTGGTTGGATACATTATAGTGGGAACCCCTTGGATGTATTGGACACTGAGATGCCTTCCAACACTCAGATTCTGTAGTAACGGATGATAATACCAACTGCCTCTCACCAGCCACTGACCACCAACTCCCCTTAGCCTCTGCTGGGGACAGCCTGAGCAGGGTCCCTGAACCCAAGAGCCTTGGAGTAGCGATGCTTCAGCTCATGGCTCTCAGCCGTCTCGGGAAGCAGCCCCTGTCCAGGAGGTTTGCTCCATCCAGGGATCAGCCTGGCCCCTTACTTCTGCTGGTGCTGCAGCCACATCTAAAGTCCTTGGCACTATCAAACAGTTCAACATCACATGATTTTATCAGTGGAAATTATTTTTTTTAATGGCATTACTATTAAGAAATGACCCAACTGTTTTGGAGAGCAATCTGGAATTATGCCTAAAGAGTTCTAAAACTGTATACCCTTTGACCCAGTAATATCACAGTTAGGTCTGTTTCCCAAGGTGGCAGGGAAAAAGGAAAAGAACCTAAGTTGTGTGTGTGTGTGTGTGTATTATGGCTCTCTGTGGTGGCAAAGAGCTGGAAATGGAGGGGATGCCCATTACTTGGGAAATGGCTGAGTAAGTTGTGGTATATGATTGTGATGGAATACTACTGTGCTGTAAGAAATGATGAGCTGGTTGTCAAGAAACACATGGAAAGACTTGTGTGAAATGAGAGAACCCAGAGACAGTTGGTTAAAGTAACTGCAAACAACAAACCTATTCTCAAAAATGTGGCGTACAAATCAACCATGAAGGACTTGGGAAGGAGGATGGTATCCACATCCAGAGAAGGTGCTACATGAAGGATGTATTGTATGGTTCCCCACGTGTCTATACCAGCCTTCTCTAATGTGGGGTTGGAGGAGGGGAGGCAACTCGAAACTCAAAATGTAATAAAAAATAAGTGAAAACCCCACAGCATTCCTGGCTACTTTTCTGCTGCACCCTCTGGATCATGAGACCTTTCCATTTGCCTGCAACCTTCCCTATATGCTGTCTCCCATGAGAATGTGAACTCCTTGAGGGCAGGTTTTACTTTTCAACTTGTATGAATGCACACTTAAAACTGCATTGCACATAGTATTTAATAAATCCTTCCTTCCTCTCTCCCCTTCCTTCCTTCCTTCCTTCCTTCCTTCCTTCCTTCCTTCCTTCCTTCCTTCCTTCCTTCCTTCCTTCCTTCCTTCCTTCCTTCCTTCCTTCCTTCCTTCCTCCCTCTCTTTCCTTCCTTCTATAAATCTGGAATAAAAGGCTTATAGTCAAGCTGTAAAAGGCTCTGAACGTCAAACTTGGGAGACAGTGTTTGGTTCCAGGGTAACAGGGAGTGTGGAGCTCCTTAAGCAGGGGAGGAATGAGGTCACACCAGTGCCTCAGGACTTTGGTCACTTTGGCAGCCGTTGTTAACAGTAGACTAGCCAAGGACAGGCTCATTGGTGGTGGGCAGCCTTCCCTAACCCAACAATCCAGGTATGAGGGAGATGAGCACTGAGGGCTAGAGTGGCCTCGTTAAAGGAAAAGAGATGAAAAAATCAGAGAGCTGGGCGTAGGGGTAGAAGGGACAGGACTAGGCCATTGGCTCGCCCTGGGAAGCTTGGTGGGAGATCTGAGCTGTTTCCTCCTCCAGTTGTGCAGGAGTGTTCACGGCATCTGAGGCTGTGCAACTGAGAAACTTCAACTAAGAAATAAGGCCTCAATTCTGGGGGAAATATACAACTTTTATATGTTTTTGTTTTGTTTGTTTTTGCAAGGCAAGCAAGCTAGGTTAAGTGACTTGCCCAGGGTCACACAGCTAGTAAAGTGTCTGAGGTTGGATTTGAACTCAGGTCCTCAATGTGTGACTTTACTGAAGTGTTTGAAGGGACAGGAAGTATCAGAGGAGCTGAACAACCCTTTATTCAGCCAAAGGAACTTCCAGGGTCTCCACACAGGCTTTAAAGGGGTGCCTTGGCAGTGTGGGTTCTGGACCCTCGGGGTTCTCCTCAGTGTGGGTCCTTGCAGCATTTCTCTGGGTGCCTGCCTGAGTTTGCTGGGCGTATGTGTTTTGGGAGGCAGGAGCCCCGACTAGGAGTGCTGAGGCCACAGGACATGTAAGCCCCTGCTTCCCCAATATATTGTCTCCTCCCCTCCCCCCCTTCCTTCTCCTCCCGCCCCCCCCCTTACTGCATCACCATCGGTATTCTGCTTCCCTGCAGCCCCTGCAGCCCCGCCCTGGGCCCCAGACTCTAGATATCTGCTGTATGACCCTGTTCTGCCAGGCCAGGAAGGGAAAGACACTCACTGAAACCTTTGCAGCCTTGGCCGAGGTGAGTGGAGCGGAGGGGAGGGGAAGACAGGGGAAGTAGAGAGAGGCGGAGTCCATCTGGGCCGCGTCTCCCGGTTGGCTCCACTGGTCTCAGCACTATTGCTCCAGCCGCAGCCCCCCTCCCAGGTCCCACCCTCCTGCAGGCCCAAAGTGAAACCAGACCTGGGACCCGGAGACGCCGCTGTGAGTGACTGGGATTGGGAAAGGGAGGGGAGGACTCAGGCGTCCGGCAGCCCAGCCCAGCCCCCTTCCTGCTCCTGTCTGGGAGGAATCCTGGAGTCCAGCCCCTAAGCTCCTCCCTTCTCCAGGACCCAGGTGTCGGGCTCTACAAGCTCCCGCCATTGTCCGGCACCCAGGCGCGCTCTCCCCCATTCCCCTTTTCTCCGGGACCCAGGTGTCCGGCACACAGACGCACTGTCCCCATCCCCCCTTTTCCCCAGGACGCAGGTGGCCGGCTCTACAAGCCTCACCCTTCTCGGGACCCAGGCGAACTCTTCCCATTCCCCCTTTCTCTGGGACTTGGTTGTCGGGTTCGACCAGCCGGGACAGCCACTCGGATACCCAGGCCCTAAGGCCTTGCATCCCAAGGTCCGGGGCCCCTGCATCCCTTTTGGTAGAGCTCAGGCACCCTGAGGCTCGGGCCTCTGGACCGACCCCCAGCCTCTCCCAGCCTCAGCTTCCTTTTCTCTGGGACCCAGGTGTCTCCAGGATCTCTGGGCGTTTAGCCCTTATGCTCTCGGAGGATGGGACCGGATGTGTAGTAAAAGACTAGGGGAGGGGATATCATCCCCAAATAAGGAACAAATACGCCCGTTGCCATAGCAACGGCCTTTTCCCTCCCTCCCAACCCTAACGTTCCCGAACGAAGGACCCCCTCCCCCCCATCTTCCCCTTCTGTTGTCGCTTCCTGTTTGGCGTCACCATGGAAATAGTGACCTCAGCCTCCCCCTTCCCTCCCAGGCCTGGGCTGGGGGAGACGCCTGGTTGGGGGTGGGGTGGGCGGTGACAGCGAGGACATTGGAGGGTCCCTGAGGGGTGGAGACTGAAGATTTTGCCTCAGTGTCCCCATAGGAGAGCCTCTCTGGCCTGGTCCCCCCCGCGGGGTGGGTCTGGGAAAGCCCCGGTGGGTACTCTCTTAGTAAGTGTCAGGGCTGGGCTCCGGGGTCCAGCCCCGCCTCCTTCTTGGGCCCCGCCCCAAGAGGTCTCCTTTCTCTCACTCCCTCCCTTCCTCCCCACCACAGCCCCAGACCCAGGTTCACCAACACTCACCACAACTACCCAGAAGGGAGCCTGCAGACCGCGAGGTGAGCCTCCCAGGGAGTAGGGCCCGGGCCCCTGTCCAAGGGTCCAGGCTTTGGGGAACTGGGTTCTTTAGAGACATGGGACGACGGGCGCTTGGGGCTCTGTGGCAGATAGGGACGGACAACTGTGTCTCAGGCAGGTCCGGGACCACTTAAGAGGTGGAGTGCCTGGATCCCTGATGGGTAGGGAGAATGGAACCCTGAAGGGGTTATATGTCTTTTAGCGGGTTGAGGGCTAAGATGCAAGCTGGGAGAGCTGGACCACTGGGTCCCTTAGGTGATGAGTGGCGTCTGAGACGCCTGGGTAAGTAGAAGGGAATGGAAGCTGGGGGTAAGGAATCTGAATAAGAAGCTAAAATAACGGACTTCGGAATCCCAGGCGTGGCGGGGGAAGCCCCGGGCTTGAAGGGGTTAAGGGGCGTTCCCCCCTACTCTCCGGGTCTCCTTTCCCTCCAGCTGTGCATTCCAGAGCCATGACCTCAGGCGGTGGCAGTGCCGCCCCCTCCCTCCCCCGCTGTCTGGGACTCCTAGCTCACGTCCTCCTCGCCCTTCCAAATAACCGAGGGGGAGGAGGCGGACCCCAGCGTCCAGGTCTTGGTGACCAAGGCACGAATCCCAGAGGGGCACGTGGGAGGGGAAGGGGATGCCGCCACCCAACCCTCGGTTGGGGGGGCGGTGGAGTGGACGCTTACGCTCTTCTAGGAGCCTCTGGTCTGAGTGCCAATGTGGGCTTCCGGCAGGCGTGGTGGTGGTAAGCCTCTGCGAGTAACCTGACTCCAGTACAAGAACTCAGACGTCCGGCCCCGCCCCAATCCATCTCGGGGACCCCGGCATCCTGGGCCCGGCACCTTGCAGCTGGGATCCCGTCCCCAGTCCTAAGGAGGGGGAAGGGCGGCAGGGGCGCCGCCCCGACATCCCAGACACATTCCTTGGCCTAAGACAGGCCAAGTACCTTATAAGGCGAGCTCCTGCTGCTGGCTGTCAGGCCTCTCCTGCAGCCCCCGCAGTCCCCTGCCTTCCTGGGCTGCTTGCTTTTGGGATATGAACTCCTCCTGGTCCCAGCTGACCCAGGCCTACGCCTTAGAAGCGCCACGCCCTTTTCCTTTCCTGGCTAAGCAGCCTAAAGCCGAGCACCTCTACACACACAGCGTGGGCATGTTCCCCTCTGTTTGGTAAGGTGGAGGTGGGAATTAAGTCGAGTATTGGGAACCAGCCCAGATACCTGAGTCCGTGGCTTTGTGGGCAAGTTCGGGGCGGTGGTCTTAATGAAGTGGCCACGTCCAGAAGGTGATATTCTCCCTCTCCTTCCCTCCCTCCCTCTCTCTCTTTCCTCCTCCCTCCTCCTTCCTTCTCTCTCTCCCTCCTCTCCTTCTAGCTTCTCAGAGTAGCAAGACAAAGACCTGTTCGACCCCCCTTCCCAGAAAGGAGAGTGACCAGAGGTTTCAGGTAGGGGTGCCCCAGGCACCTATTAGGGTGGATTAGGGTGGGACTCTGAAAAAATCCTCACCTCCCAGGGCTGGCACATGCCCTCAGTAGGAGATAATTTAGGGACTTTCTGGGCCAAAGGTGAGGGGTAGCTGCCAAATAGATTCTAGGCCCAGGAGGCAGGGTGGGTCTCCTCCATGAATGTTTGCTCCCTAGGGGGTGGGATCCCTGTGGTACTCTGGGTATCTGGTGCTGTGAGGGAGGAGCTTGGCCGCCTAAGTCTCTCAGGCACTTTGAGACCAGAGCCTAGACTGGCCAGGCTCTTCTCTAATTAGCCTCTTGGCCTCTTCTTTCCTCAGTCATGCCAGTGACCATCACTCGAACCACTGTGACCACTACCACCACCTCTTCCGGCCTGGGCTCACCCACCATAGTGGGCTCTCCTCGGGCACTAACATCCAAGCTGGGCCTCCTGCGCCTGCTGCAGCTGGTATCCACCTGTGTAGCCTTCTCGTTAGTGGTCCATGTGGGTGCCTGGGATGGGGCCATGGGCCACTGGGCCATGTTTGCCTGGTGTTTTTGCTTTGCCATGACATTGGTGATTCTGGTGGTAGAGGTGGGTGGCTTCCAACCCCGATTCCCACTCTCCTGGCGAAATTTCCCAATTGCCTACGCCTGTTATGCCACCCTGCTCTGCCTCTCGGCCTCCATCATCTACCCTACCACCTATGTCCAGTTCATGCCCCAGGGCCCAAGGCGAGACCATTCCATCGCAGCCACCTTCTTCTCCTGTGTGGCCTGCCTCGCCTATGCCACTGAGGTGGCCTGGACCAGAGCCCGGCCCGGGGAGGTCACAGGCTACATGGCCACTGTCCCTGGTCTCCTCAAGGTCTTTGAGACTTTCGTAGCCTGTATCATTTTTGCCTTTGCCAGTGACCCACCCATCTACCAGCGTCACTCAGCCTTGGAATGGTGTCTGGCGGTCTACTGTATCTGCTTCATCCTGTCTGCCGTGGCCATCCTCCTGAGCCTGGGTGACTGCACAGGCCAGTTGCCCATCTCTTTCCCTAGTTTCCTCACAGGCCTGGCCATGTTGGCAGTGGCTCTCTACGCCTCAGCCCTGGTGCTTTGGCCCCTCTATCAGTTTGATGAGAGGAAGGGTGGCCGGCCGAGGAGGCGGGATGATTTGAGCTGCCCCCATCGCCATGCTTCTGCTGTGTGTGACTGGGATCGACGGCTGACCGTGGCCATCCTCACGGCAGTCAACTTCCTGGCCTACGTGGCTGACCTGGTGCACTCGGCCCGGCTGGTCTTCATCAGGGTGTGAGGTGGGCACCAGCCTGCCAATCTCTCCTTTCCCAGTCTCCTCCTTTTTTTCCTTTCTTGGGTTCCTTTGCCTGCTTTTCTCACTGTCTATATTTCCTTCTTTCCCACCAGCTCTTGGCCTCCTCTTTCTCTCTCTTCTTTTCTCCTGCCCTTCTGCCTGTCCCAACTCCCCTCTAAGGTGCTGAGCTTCTTACCCCTGGCCCAATTCCCAGCAGGTATTCCAGGGTTACTTGGCCACACATCAATGCCCACCCAGGGCCATGGGTTCCCACTGCCAAAGCATGTTGGTTTGCTCCCCTCCTCACCCAATCCTGTGTGCCTTAGTCTGTGTGAATGTTGGGAGAGCTGGGAAGGTGGTGGCCTCCTTCTTCATCCTCTTCCTGCCTGACTGGAGGCAATGGAGGCAGCCTCTCTGTGCCAAATGCACCTCCTCTTCCAAGTGAAAAATGTGTCCCGAGAGGTGTCTAAGATTCGCAGTCGGAAGGCGCAGTCCTCAAGCCCTGCTCTGCCTTGGTCTCCATCATCACAACACTTTCGACAGCTCCTCCTGGCAACTTGGGGAAAGGGAATGGAGGGGGATCCGAACGTCAGTCAAGACTGAGAGTGAAGGCAAAGGCTGCCTGGCCCACAAACCCCAGTAGTGGTGGCTTTCCTTAAGACTAACAGGCGGGTGGGAAGGATTTGGAGGACCAGAGAGAAGAGAGCAAATGTTTTCCTCCCAACTCTTCTCTCTGTTGCCGTGTGTGTGTGTGTGTGTGTGTGTGTGTGTGTGTGTGTGTGTGTGTGTGTGTGTGCTGCCTCTTCTGAGCACCCTGCATCGCTTTCTCTGGGGAGATTATGTTGTACTGTATTGGATATGATGCTGTATTACTATGCTCCCCCTCCTCCCCACACATCTGCAGTTAGTGTCAGCATTTTTTTTTACCTCAATATAAAGACCACATATGAAGTGTTTGTTTTGGTGGGTTCTTTTATTATTTTGGGGGAGAGGAGAATAGTGTCATGCAGTACTCAAACTCCTGAGTCTCATAGGCATTGGGGGTGAAAGGACACCAGCATTTCTTGGTTGGTGAGAAGATAGGATGTTGGGGGTGGGGTGGGGAGGATGTGATAGATATGGAACTGGAGGGGGTCAGCTATTCCTGTGCTTGGGAAAGAGCCCTGAACTTGGGTCCTGGACCTGGACTTTTCCCAGGTGCCCTGATTTTTTGCAAGTCTGGGCCTCCTCAGTTTTCTCATCTTCAAGATGGGGGTGGGGTGGGGCAGTCTAATGGGACTGAAATGAAGAGTCAGCTCTAAAACCTGTGATTACCTAGGCAGGTGTCATAGGGCATAAAGTGAATTCCAATCCTGTTTCAGATATTTACTAGCAGTATAACCCTGGGCAGATAGTTAACCTTTTTCAGCCTTCTTGATTTTCTCATCTACAAAATGAGGATGATAATAGCACCTACCTCCTGGGGTGGTTGTGAGGATCAGATGAGATAGCATAATATATATAATGTGCTTTGCAAGCTTGAAAGGGGGACTATGAAGGGCTAACTCATCTAAGCCACAGGATTGCAGCTCTGCAGTGGAAGAAACCCAGAGGTCACCAATCCTATTTCCTCATTTTACAAATGAGGAAACTAAAGATCCAGAGAAGGGAAGGAACTTAGTCAAGCTTGTTGAGGTAGTAGGAGAGCTCCGGGGATTTGAACTCAGGTCTTCTGACTCCAGAGGGCCAGTCTCTTTGTTTTCAGGGTGGGGAAATGGTCCCACAGAGCTGAAGGGGCTTACTCATTGTCTCGCAGAGTTTAGACTTGACCCCCAGGTTTCCCAATTTTGTGGCCTCAGCTCTTTTCACCACCCCCATCCTTGGAGAAGGTAGGCACAAGACCGGAGACACCTGGATCTCCGGGTTTGGATCCTCTCTCCTCTTTCTGAACCTCAATCTCATCTGTCAAATGGAGTGAATTCTCATTTGCCATGGCCCTCAGTGGGTGGTTCTTCTGTAGAAAGCACTATTTGCCAGTAAACACTAGAAAAGTATGTCATCACCACAGACTCAGGGCCATCATTGAATGCAAAGCTAGAGAGGCCTCAGGGGTGGATCTCTGACTCCAACCTAGGGCGGGTCAGGGCTAGCCCTAACCATCCAGTTCTCCTGCCTCCCAGTCCTTGAGGCACCCCGAGGACTGACCAAAGTTTGTCTAACAAAGCTCTTCTTTGAGATAGCTTGTGGGGCACATAGTACAAGCTGTTGCTGCTTTCATTTTACAGCTGGGGAAACAGCCTCGGAGAGCCTAAAGGGACTTGCCGGTGGTCTCCTAATGTAAGGGGTGGGGAGGACTCCAAGGCCAACATCCAGCCCTGTTAGCAAGCTCTCCCCAGTAGAAAGGTAGGAGAAATGGAAGGAAACCGGAGGGTCTGAAACGCCCTGGGGCCTCGATGAGGGGATAGAACCCCAGGAGAGAGCTAAAAAACGCTGGGAGGATTCTGGAAGAAGGCCATGTGCCTTGGTGACCAGCCAGCGAGGAGCGAGGAACAGGAAGCCGGGCTTAAATCTTGGAGGAGGGAGGAAAAGAGAGGCAGGAAGGGGGAAGTGAGACATTAACGAGTGCCCAGGCCGTTGGGAGGGGCCTCGGGGAGGTGGAGAGGCAGGTGGAAGAAGCCGGGAGCTGACCGGTCCTGGCTGGAGAGGCAGGGTCGGATTAACCGGCTTCTCCGCCACCTCTGTACCTTGATCTAGAACCGCGCGCCAGGTAGCCAGAGAATCAATAGAGAAGACTCAGACTCATCATCAGGGACAGTCTGAGGCCTCGAAAGACTTAATAAAGACAGATCCAGAGACCAAATAGGGACTACACGTTAGAGGCATGAAGGAAACGACTCCGGGAGACACATTCTTGGAGTCTGTCAAGAAGCCTTTATTAAGCTCCTACAATATGCCAGGCGTTGTACTAAGCGATAGGGATGGAAGAAAGGCAAAAGACAGTCCCTGCCCTCAAGGAGCTCCCAATCTAGCGCGTGGGTGAACTACAGCCGAACACCTAGGGACAAGCAAGATCTGGAAAGATAAATTGGAGATTTCTCTTCCCCGCAGTGGGAAGGCACCATAATGACGAAGGATTGGGAAAGGCTTCTTGTAGAAGATGGGCTTTACCACGTCGTGCGATGACTAATGTTGATAGACTTAGTCCTTCTCAGCAATTCAAGGATCTAAGACATCTCCAAAGGTCTCATGATGGAAAATGCTACCCACACCCAAAGAAAGAACTATGGAATTTGAATGCAGATCAAAGCATACTACTGGCTATTTTGTTTCTTCTGGTTTTTCCCCCCTCTTCCTTATGGTTCTTCCTATAGGTTCTAATTCTTCCTTACAACATCACTAATGTGAAAATATGTTTAATAGGAATGTATATGTATAGCACATATCAGATTGTGCGCCATCTTGGGGAGGGAGGAGGGGAAGAAGAGGGGAAGGAGAGGGAGAAAAATTTAAAACTCAAAAGCTTATAGAAGTGATTGTTGGTAAAAAAAAAAAAGCTGGGCTTTAGTTGGGACCTGAAAGAAGACAGAAAATGGAGATGAGGAGGCACAATGGTCCAGGAGGGGGGGGGGGAGACAGCCAGAGAATGCCCGGAGTAGAGTGATTGATTGTTCGTCTTGCTCCAGAACAGTCATGAAGCCAGTGTCACTGGACGGAAGAGTATGGGGTGGGAGAGGTAAGGTGTAAGATGTAAAGGAGGCTGGAAAGATACAGATAGATACTCTCTAGGACACTTCGAGTCTCACGCGGGATGCTCTGAGACCGCGAGAGAGAAAGAGACGAAGACTGGATATTCGGGGAAACAGAGATGGAGAGACAGACACTGAGAAGTAGAGAGACCGAAGCTGCTCGCGTACTGACAGTGGGCTTGTAGTTGGAGTACCCAGGCTCTGCCACCTGTGCTGCCTGGGCGGCTCTGAGCAAGTCCTTGACTCCTCTAAGCCTCAGTTTACTGTTCTGTCAAGTTAGGGAGTGAGTGGTTTTCAAGGTCCTAGCTGACACTTTGCGATCCCCAGAGAGAGGCTGGAGTAAAGAGAACGAGAGAGGCAAGGCTGGGGCCAGAGAGGCCCCGGGTGGGTCAGGGTAGGGGATCCTCCAGAGACCCAGGCAGGGACTGGGGTGGGGATGAGTGGGGATGGGCTCTGGCTCCCAAGCTCACCAGCCTGGTAGTGTACCAGAAGCTATGGGGGGGGTTGGGGGGGGCGAGCTGTCGCGAGGCATGCTGGGGGTTGTAGTTCCCAACTCGCCCTAGGCGCCCGCCGAGGCTGGAGGTGGACTACATTTTCCACAATGCATCACGTTGCTTCGGCTTCGGGCGGCGAGCGGCGGCGAACGATGCCCAGGGCAACGGGGGCGGGGCCGGGAGAGTAGAGACAGAGACAGAGACCGAGACCCAGAGATAGTGAAGAAGAACGAGTGGGAGACAGAAGCAAGAGAGAGAGAGGGAGGGAGGGAGAGAGAGAGAGAGAGAGAGAGGGAGGGAGGGAGAGGGAGAGGGACAGCAAGGAGGCAGTAGAGGCAGGAAGTCAAGGAGGAAGATGATGGAGAGGGTCCAGGTGGGATGGGGAGAGACTGAGACACGATTTTTTCGGGAACTGGAGGGGAAGGAGAGCTAGGGTTGGCCTGTGGGGGTGTGAGAGGGACAGACAGATGCACAGACTGCTTGGGGGGCTGGGGGCACCTTTAAGAGGAAGTCCCGCCCTCTTGGTCGTCACGGTAACACCCCTTCCCAGGGCCCCCACTTTTCAGCAGGTGCCTAGAGCCTCCTCACAGCGCAGCTCAACCAAAGCAACGGGGTCCCGGCTCGCCGGGCCCTTCTGCCCCGCATCCCGCCCCCTCCCCAGCCCCCAGGACTGCGGACTCCCTCCCCTCCCTTCTTGTCTCCTCCCCCTCTTTTCGCCTCTCCGCTTTTGCCCACTTCTCTCTCCCCCCCTCTGCTTCTGCCCATTTCTGCTTCTGCCCCTCCCTATCTCTGTGCCTGTCCCTTCACTTCTCCCCAGGTCTCTGGCCATCTCTACCTTTACCTCCCTAGTTCTCTCTCCCATCTTTCTCTCTCATCTCTTTCCTCCTTTCTCTCTCATCTCTCTCCCTCTTTTTCTCTCCTCTGTCCCATCTCTCCCTCTTTCTTTTCTTCTCCCTGTCTCTCTACTCTTCCTGTTCCCACCTTTTTCTCTCATCTTCCCCTCCTCTTTTCCATCTATCTCACTTCTCTGTCTCCTCCTTTTTTCTTCCTCTCTCTGTCTCTTCTCTCTGTCTTTCTGTATCTCTCTCCATCTTCCTTCCCCATTTCTCTCCCACATCTCTTCTCATTTCTTTCCCCCCTCTTTCTCCTCCATCTCCTCTTTTCCATTTTGTTCGTTTTCTTTTCCCTCTCTAGCCATCCCCACCCCTCCCCGGTCTCCTCGGCCTCTCCCTCGGGATCTCTGTCTTTTATCTCTTCCAATCTCTCCTAGATTTCTACTCTTTCCCCTCACCGATCCCTCCCCCTCCCTTGCCTGTCCCTGCCTTCCCCACCCTCCCCACCTCTCCCAGGCCTGAGGTCTCTAGCTCAGAGTCTCTCCCCAGTTTCCCTGGCAGGGAAGGCTTGGGACCATGGCTGGACTGGGCCCCGGAGGTGGGGAGGCCGAGGGTGGCCCCCGGCCCCTGTTTTGCAGGAAGGGGGCTCTGCGCCAGAAGGTCGTGCATGAGGTGAAGAGCCACAAGTTCACAGCCCGCTTTTTCAAGCAGCCCACCTTTTGTAGCCACTGCACGGACTTCATCTGGTGAGGGAAGCAGGGAGCTGGGGCTTTAGGGGGCGGGGCTGGGGGAGGGGGCTTCGGGACCCTAGGGGAAGGAGGCTGGGAGAGAGGGTGACTGGGGTCTTATAGGGAGGCAGCTGCGGGGAGGAAGCTCTGCGGAGCGAGAGGAAGGGGTTCCGGGA